ACAGGGGCCTTGACTTCAAAAAGCTTGTCCGCCCTATAACTCAAAAAGTTTAAATTGATTAGTATGAAAAACATTTTTATTAGCCAATAATTGTTTCATTGAATGTATAAGTTGATAATTCTAATTGAAAAAATACTATCCATTGTTACAATTTCTATTGATGAAAAAGTGATAATTTAATCAAACCAAGATCACTGCACTACTTAATTGATTGTTATTAATGCTTTAACAAAGCAATTTTAATGTGATTAGAAAATGCTAATTGAATGTGCTTTTCTGCTGAAATATTTTCTACTTATTTATACATTAAGCTCTCATACCCACTTTATAAACCGAAAATTCCTCCGAGAGGGATTTTGTCCTAGGTAGCAATTTTATGAAGGGGATTTTGTCCACTTCAAAATTTCACACATGAAGGGGATTATGTCCACCCATGGAGGGGATTATGTCCAGATATGCAAAAATACATGAAGGGGATTTTGTCCGAAGGGGATTATGTCCGTACACCATCTATAGTGTCTGCATTTTACAAAATGAATTTAATCTTAAACAAATATGTTCTCTATTATATCTATATTTTCATATGCTACTGTAAATTAGGATATATAGTACTTAAAGTGGTTGGAAGTTTTCAATAATCATACTTTTTTAACATAATTGTATCAAATTATGTGTTTCTCTGCAGAAACAAAGAGACACACACATTTAAATTAAGTGGCAATATACTAATACACAGGATGTGGTCACACTTTCCTTATCAACAGGGGACAAACTGTGGGGGTAACTCTAATCCCTTTGGCTATAGGCAATTAATTATGCACATGTGAAGTCACTGAAGTGACACTAATCTAATCAATTTCAAACAATCATCAACAACTTTATGCAATCATGAAGCATGACATAATTAGGCCATGTCTGCAAAATTCATTTCACTATATATCTATATTGTCTGCGTTTCTTTGCAATTACTATATACTATATATCGTCTGCATTTTACTACATGTTCTGCACTGTTAATTAAAGAAATATAACGCAGACAATATAGATATATAGTGAAATGAATTTTGCAGACATGTATTTCTTTTATTAACAGTATAGAACATATAGTAAAATGCAGACGATATAGAGTATATAGTACTTGCAAAGAAACGCAGACAATATAGATATAGAGGATATTGAATGAGTGTATGTTCAATACTGAATTTATTGCACGAGTTGAATAAAATTATATTATGCGAGCCTCTGGCGAGCATATTATTTTATTCAACGAGTGCTATAAATTCAGTAATGAACTTACACGAATTTAATATTCTATTTATCACATACCCAAAATTAAGACCGTTTAAAGTGAAAAAAGAGTCATTTTTCATTGACGCACCATTTAGCGCGTCTTTACACATAATGTTTGTATAACGCTAATGACGTTACGTCAAAATATATGCACGGCCGTGCAATACCATATTTACGGAGTCGCAAAATCGGCACGGGTGTGTGATAAACATATATAGTGATATAATATGATAAACAATTGTTTTTTTTAATTACATTTATATTTATATTTTTACATCACATTGTTTTTTTGTGTAATAATTATAAATGCTTTATAACATTGTTTTTTCTTTAACTATTTGGTGATTACTTTGTAGATGGACTAAGTATAAAAATCAAATAAAATATTAAAACTACAAATCTAAACAGCTTTGAAGGGTGTAATTTACCCCTTCTTTTTCTATATTGTCTGCGTTTTGTGAATACACTCTATATCTATATTGTCTGCGTTTTACTATATATCCTATATTGTCTGCATAAGCGTCTGCGTTTTAGCATGTGCCATGTTCTAGCCGTATGTGAGTCACGTACAACTAACAAGGACACACTGTATTGGCTAGTCGTACGGCATTTTCAAAATTGTATGGAAGTCGAAAATGCATATGTTATTTTATGACATTAAGGCCTAAAAAAAAATTGTTTTGTTCGGGTCACCCGACCCTACCTAATAATATACGCCGACCCTACCGTTTTTTTCGTGTCTAAAAAAAAAAAATCGATGAAAATATCGTATTATTGAGGTATGGTACAGGTTTTATTGCCCTTCTTAATTACAAAATGGCGGATCACATCGTCAATATTTGTAAAACGGTGTGTGATCTTCACCAAACGGCAGAAGATTGTTACACCTAAAATGTCTTTTGAAAACATAGAAGGGATGTATTTGTGCCACCCGGGAGGGATGTCAGAAATTTCCATATCTACATCGACGTCCCGGTCCTTGAAATTCTTGAATAAAAAAAAAAAAAAAAATCCAACCTACCCTACCTATTCCCTGAGAACATGTTACCTGAACAAAACAATTTTTTTTTAGGTCTAAGCGAGGATCTTAACCACGAAACATCAATTGTCTTAGTATGTTTTTTTGTTTCATTAAGTTTAGTTTTCGACACCTTTAAAATGAAACAAAAAAAACCCAAAAATAATTGTTGTTGGGCTCTGATAATTGCGTCAATTACCGATGGTATAGAAGTTTGTCCATCATTAAGAAAAGTTTGCACGTGTCGTGAAACCCATTCTAAAATTCTTTTGTCAGTCCCGGAGTAAGCTTTAATTAAGGCTAATTAATTGATTGTGCTTTTATGTTCGATATTTATCTACTGTACTACGAGGGATGATCAAAAATAAACCGGACTGTGACTGGCAATTGAAGAATTTTCATCCTATCACTTATTGTTATATATCAAACTTAATCGGAAAACAATACCTGTAAACTGATACTTTATTTAATCAGATAACGCAAATAGCTTGTCCGTAACAGCGAATTCAAACACCATGGTAACGCACACCCGGCGCAGTGCGTAAATTCGCCTTGACATGAGGCGCTTTATGCTGCGTGTATTTTACAATATGGCACATTTAGATTTCAAAATACGCCAAAACGTCATGTACCATATCTTTGATGTTGTCAGTAAAAGTGACTTCATTTAAACCATATTTATATTAACAATCACAATTCAAACGTCACATGTTAATTAAATACTCGCGTTAAAACTATGTCGTCGGAATGTCTTGAAAATCGATCAATAGGAAAAAATTGTCAAATGTAAGACGAGAAACTGTTTAAAACGTAGAAAAAGATTATGGCTATCAAGGGAAAAGTTCCAGAAAGCCACAGCATATTTTTTGATTAGCTTAAAAGATTAAGAAAGGATAATAGAGAAATAGAAACAAGTAAGAGAGAGACAGAAAAAATACATTTTCAAGGACGTTGGTGACGTCAGTCGCCAAGACGTTGAAAAATGACAGTCGATTGACTGCGGACAATGTCAACGATGTTCGACAGTAACTACGGGACGGTGCAGTCAACTCTGAGGATCTTAAAATGATAATAGTTAATGCATTAATTACATGTATTGTATTCTTGGTTTACAATTGTATCAATTATTTTCTTATTTTACGCAGTAGTCTTATGGAGAAATTGTGTCAACAATTTAACAGCCACTGTTCAAATTGGCTATGCGTTTTATTTATTTTAAAATAATGACAATTTTGATCATAGTTGTATTATTCTGTTATTTTTTCGTATGTATGATACATTATCATTCAGCAACATTATTTTACATTATTTGTAATACATAATATAGTTAATTGCATGTGCGATTTTTTCAACAATCAAGTTACAGAAGGAAATAACGGAAGTTTGCGTCATTACAGGAGCTCTTTATCACCATTCATTCTATTACAATACAATATGATACCCACTTGTACAGAAATATATATAGGCAGGGGATCCGCCGCATCAATAACATGACTGTACCACATATTGGCCTACTCCGTGAATGAGTAAAAATCTGCTCCGTTAAGGACAATACGCTTGTGACGTCGTTAACGTCAATTTTAAAGTTATACCGTGCGCCGCATTGCTTTACATGTGCATGCCAATAACAGCATAACTTTTTTCTTTGTTAATATTTCTTGTTGGTATTTTTTGTATCATTTAGGGGATAGATTCCGATTTATTTTCCGTGTATTGTTATGTAAATTCATTTAACAGGTTAAGAATCATTTACAAAGTCCGGTTAATTTTTGATCATCCCTCGTATATTTGAAAATTATACATTCACCTTTTTTTTTTCAATGTTCTTTTTATTTATTCCATTCCGATCGTTATTTATTCGATCCATGTGCTTAATTAACAAAAATTCATCTTTCATACAAATAAAACAACAAATCATAATCATGAGGTACAAAATACACATGTTCGACTTCACATTATTTTGAAAAGTGCCGTACGGCTAGACAATACAGTGAGTCCTGGCTAGTCGTACGTGACTCCCGTACAGCTAGAACCTTTGGCTAGCCGTAAGGGCCCGTACGGCTAGCCACTTCCTAAATTTGGCAGTACTTTAATTATTAAATTATCAATAAAATCTATGATTAATATATATATATAGATTTATGATATGGTATGATATAGAAATATGATTTTTTTCTTTCTCAAAACAGCTTACATGAAGTTGAACATGATAAGTACATGTGCTTGGATAGACAAATATACATTTTATTTGGAATGAGCTCCACAGCAAAAGTGTCTGTCACTATGTTATGTTGAGTTTCCCCATATTTTCGCTCTTTCAATATAACTCCTCCAAAATTCCAGATATCAAATTTAACTCATTGACAAAAAAATCAGTGAGTAAATACACATTGCCCTGAAAAATCATCTGGAGCCTGAACACTGGCTGTTTCAAACTTAATGACAATAACTGAAACAATTCAACCAATACCTGAGCGCACAACAAGACTGAACCAGGGGGAAGAATATTCTTTCAAGATCTAAAAAGTTTCCCATAATTCACAAGGAGTCACAAGGAGTAATTTTTGTTTAGATGAATACTAGTGTTTAAATGTTTAAAACATAAATTAATTATCTCTCTATGCTATTAAAGTATTTAAAATAACTTGATAATGTATAAATAAAAGATTTGTCTGATTTTTTTTTTTGATAGATGGAAGGGTCAGAATCAGATATATTGAATGAAAATGTGGACTCTGATGGGGATCTACGTGATACACAAATTGTTGAAGATAGAGTATTAAAAGGTAAGTACAGGGTCTATATTAATATCAATCTGCAACTTGAGCAAAAAATGTAAAGAAACATTGATGCCAGCAGTTATATGGTTGTGATATTTAGATTCTAACTGTGTGAAGTGCATCAAAATTGGAGAAAAATAAGAAAGAACTCTGAAGAATTTTAAATGCCTGATTAATAACATACATGTGATATCACAGCAGGATAAAAGAAATCCTGACATTTTTACCCCTATCCTTATACCTGATATCACAGAGTAAATTCTCAACAGTGGTGAAAGTAATGAAATATTACTGTTCTGTATTGACTTGAAGTGATTTTAATGGCTTACCGCTATAGATATGTTTTTTTTTTGGCAATATAATATTGTTAATTAAGTCATGAATAAGATAAAAAAAACACTTGTCATTTTCAATGTTATGTTGGTTCTTTATACCAAATATGTTGAAAATTAAGTTGATAGATATACACTTTTTTTCTAGCTGAAAATCAAGTTTTGGCCCATTTCAGTTATTACATGTATGTACATGTAATTACTAAGCACATTAAATAATTAGGAGTATATTGGGCTATACTGAATTATTTTATGAACTTGGCAATGATATTATGATATTGCAATGCCGTGTTTTTGATGTAGGTTTTCATTCTTTAACTGACAAAAACATTTTGTGTATTGAACAAGATTCCAATAGTCAAAAAAAAAGCTATGCTCACATTTTAGGCCTTATAATCTTAAATTCTTTTTGCATACCGGGTAATTTGCCTCTTATTATGTTTGAAATATTTCAATATTTTTGAATAGAATCTAGGATCATAATTTTCAAACAATTAAAAAAAAAATGCCATTTATAATTTTATATTCTAGCACAACCCACATTTTTCCCTATTGAATATAGAAGGACCAAAAAAGTCTGTTATTATGCAATAAAATCACTGTTGACATTCAATATTTAGACAATTGTGCTGTAACCATTAGATATGTGATGTAACCACTAAAAATGCGACACGCTAAAAATAAGTACGGTAACAAATCAGGCGCAGAATCAAAATAATATATTCAAATCGGTGATTTTATTGTTTGATAAATTCACTGTTTGTCGTTTGGATTTGCATCATTATATCACTCAGGCTACGCCCTCGTGATATAATTCCTCGCATCCAAACTCCAAACAGTGATGTTATTGATCAATAAAATCACCGTTTGGGATATATTATTTCTTTAGTGAAGGAGTCTGTATATGGAACATACAGGAATTGTTTGGAACTAATAATTGTCTTTATTTAAATTCAGATGTGGTGGCTTATGTGGAAGTGATGTCAAAGAATGACAACTGTAGTGGAGCAGTGATGAAAGTCTTACAACAACTTGGTGCAACTGTGACGAAAAAATTCACCTCAGACGTAACACATGTAGTGTTCAAAGAAGGAAGTAACAGAACTAGAACAAAAGCACAGAAGAAAGGCATACATCTTGTGTCTGTGCTTTGGGTTGAAAAGTAAGTTCAACCTGATCAAATGTAAGGTCCTAGGTTGACCTGCAGGAGTAGTGGTGGGGGCATGAAGTAAATATATTTACTAGAAATTTTAATTAATGTTCAAAGAATAAGGAAACTGGTCCTGGTGCATATTAACATAATCATACATTTGTTATTTTAAAGCTTGAGCATTTATTTTTGAAAATTTTTTCATTTTTTTAATTGAGAATTATTTGGGGTTAGGATTTAATGCTCCCACCTATTGAAGTTGGGATGAATATAGATTTGTAGTTTGTGTCACGTTTTACTCCAAAAGTAAAACTTGTTGAGCCATAAAACTTTCTAAAAATTGTTGTCAGCATGTTAACTTGTGAACCTGTTTTTTCTTCTCCTAAATCTATTGGAGATCAGCAGAGATATGCATCCTGATATAACAAAGTAAAGCGCTTTCAGACTTGTGTGTCACTCTTAAAGTATAATTGTCACTCGTTAAACTGTAAAACTTTCTAAGAATAGTTATAAGCATTTGAACTAAAGCACCTGAGTATTTTGACACAAATTTATTTGAAATCGGCAGAGTTATTCCAGCTGATTAAGCGATAAATAACATTTGTCAATGTGTCCTGTGTAACTTAAAAGATATAATGCTAGAGTAGTAGTTATGTTAGTGCCATGGAACTTTCTAAGAATATTTGTCATCATGTGAATTTGCCCCCCTTGGTAATTTGATGCAGTTTCATTGGCGATTAGGGAGGTTATGGCACCTGTTTTAGTATATTGTTGTATTTATTCAGCCAAACATTCTGGTAATGAATATCACACCAATGGAACCTTTTTTATCACAGCTATTCAAAGAATAGGGAGAGCTATTATAGTATACTCACCTAGGTGTCGACATCAAACTGGTCAAAGATATTATGTACCCTGGCAGCTATAAACATGTTTCTTTTTTGCAGTTGTAAAATAAACCAGGAGCATGTTTCAGAGAGGATGTTTCCAGCAATTGTACCAAATCTTAAAGGAAAACCACTCCTGATGACAAAACTTAGGGTATGTTTATTTTTTTTTAACTAAAACTGATATGAATTTTGTTAAGAACTTAGGCTTTACTTGTTTAGGATACATATTTAACTGTGGTATTCATAACAATTCTAGTAGCTGAACAAATATTAATAATTATCAATTTGCCTTTAGAATTTAGAACTTTAAATTTTGGTTTTGTAAAGTAAAGATTGTACAACACTGAACATTATTAAATTTGGTTTATCATAGGATATCTGTTAGAAATGGTTTAGATTTGATAGGTGATAATATTTTAAGATAGCTTTTGGAAAATTTTACTTTCAGAAAGCAAAGTCTATGCAGCCTCGTGATTTTGAGGAGGAGTTAGCTAGAAGTGGGGAAAGAATGCGGAGGAAAAAGAAAAAACTTGATGCCATAAATAGACTTGTAACAACAACAACACCTTTGAGTTCACCTGGAGGATTAATACTTGTACAAGATACACAACCTAGGTCACCAGTATGTATAAACAAAAATTTGTCACTTAAAAAAAGTTGAAAGCTCATCTTAGTTTATATAATAACTTTTCTTTAAATAAATGGTAACTGTTTTTAGCTTGACTATACAAAGTATATGGAAAGCTGTCCAACTCACTCTGGCATCCCCATTTAGATAAGTGGTTTAAGTATTTGTGTAGTAAAGTCTTTTTTTATGTATCTACCTTACTTCGTAAGGGATTTACTTCAAACTTCAAATATATGTTCCTTGTCATCACCCACATCTTATGTGAAAAGGTAACTGTTGCAACAATATTTCCAGAATTATGTCTCCATTAGAATTTCCTAAAAGGCACTCCACTGCGGTCAAAAAGCCAGAAAAAAAGTTTAATTTCTTACAAAGATTAGCTGGGGCACTTAAAACAGAAAGATATGCAAAAGATCATTTAAAAATAGAAATTGAAAATCATGTCCGGAGCATATCTCCTACATGTATGGAGGGATTTTAATGAAACTTCATAGAAATATTCACCACTATGAGGAGCAGTGTCGCGCACATGAACCAGGTCTCTAGGTGAAAGGTCAAGGTCACACTTAGAGCTCATTGAAAAATGCTTGTCCGGAGCAAAACTTCCACATGTATAGAGGGATTTCAATATTACTTGGCACAAATGTTCACCATTGTGAGGCGGAGTGTTGCACGCAAGATTCAGGTCCTTGCGGCCAAGGTCAAGGTCACACATAGAGGTCAAAGTTCAGATAAAAATATGAAGATGTGTATATGGACCATTTAGTCATCATTTATTGAGGGATTGTAACACAAATGGTCATTATCAAGACTATGGCTGTGATACATATAATTTAGGTCAATATATACACGGTCAAGGTCACTAAAGATGATGAAATATCCAGATTTTGTCCGGAGCATATCTCCTACACGCATGGAGGGATTTTAATGAAATTTCATAGAAATGTTCACCATTATAAGAAGCCATGTCACGCACATGAACTAGGTCTCTAGGTCAAAGGTCAAGGTCACACTTAGAGCTCATTGAAAAACGCTTGTCGGGAGCAAAACTTCCACATGCATAGAGGGATTTCAATATAACTTGGCACAAATGTTCACCATTGTGAGGCGGAGTGTCGCGCACAAAATTCAGGTCCCTGCAGCCAAGGTCAAGGTCACACATAGAGGTCAAAGTTTAGATAAAAATATGAATATGTGTATAGGGACGATTTAATCATCATTTATTGAGGGATTGTAACACAAATGGTCATTATCAAGACTACGGCTGTGACACATGTACTTTAGGTCAATATATGCAAGGTCAAGGTCACTAAAGATGGTGAAATATCCAGATTTTGTCTGGAGCATATCTCCTACATGTATGGAAGAATTTTTATAATACTTTATGGAAATGTTCACCACCATGATATGTATTGCTCCATGCATGATCCAGGTCAAAGGTCAAGGTCACACTTAGAGCTTATTGAAAAACGCATCCGGAGCAAAACTTCTACATTCATAGGGGGATTTCAATATAACTTAGCACAAATGTTCACCATTGTGAGGCTGAGTGTCGCACGCAAAATTCAGATCCCTGCGACCAAAGTCAAGGTTACACATAGAGGTCAAAGTTCAGAAAAAAATTTGAAGATGTGTATAGGGACCATTTAGTCATCATTTATTGATGGATTGTAGCACAAATCTGAAATGGTAACTATCATGACTACAGGTGTGACACATTTAATTTAGGTTAATATTTGCAAGGTCACTGGAGATGATTAAATATCCAGATGTTGTCCGGAGCATATTTTCTACATGCATGGAGGAATTTTAATGTTACTTTATAGAATTGTTCACCACCATGAGACGTAGTGCCCTGCACATGAACCAAGTCTCTAGGTCATAGGTGAAGGTCACAGTTAGAGCTCATAGAAAAACGCTTGTCTGGAGCAAAACTTCTACATGCATAGAGGTATTTCAATATAATTTGGCACAAATGTTCATCATTGTGAGGCTGAGTGCCGTGCATAAAATTCAGGTCCCTGCGACCAAGGTCAATGTCACACATCCTGTGCATATCTTCCCTACTGATTTGTTTTAAGGTTCATTTAACAACACAGTGCCAAGAATAAAAACTTGCTTGCTAGATAACACTTATCCATAATGTCCCCATCTCCATCTAAAGCTTTCGTAAACGGGCGTATTTTGTGACTATGGCACCCTTGTTTGAAAATTGTCAACTACATGTATTTGAATATGGGTATTGCTATCCTTATAATCCAAACATCAAACAGTTTTATGTGCAGCTTATTTCACAACATTATTATCATATTTTTAAAACCACTGAAAATATTTGCTGTTCAACTTGACACACTTATTTTACATCCTAATAAAAGCTCACAATCCAATGCTCATAATAGCATAGATTTTGAGAGTAATATGTCTGTTTGTAAAATAAGAAAATTCCTGATTTTGCATGCAACTACCAGTCTTCAATAATATTGAAAATGTTTGCTTGAAACTTGAAAAGATGTCTTAGACAAATGATATTTAGTCACTTTCCAAGGCCAATAACTTTAAGATTGATTTTTACTGAATTGTGGCCCTTTGTGAACTAAGATCAAAGATTTATTAATATTGTAAGTTCCAAAAAGCATTATTTGTAAAGATATTGCCGAATTCACATTTCATGTAAATAAAGGGAGGTAATTAGAAATTTATTTTCAATAAAGTCTAAGCAAAATTTTTCGATAAGAAATGAATTTACATATTTTAATGATTAGTTATAATGTGATAAACATTTGCAATACATATTTAACATATTCTTGGATGTTTGGAAATTGTTTTAGAAGAATAATAACATACATCACGCCCGTTTAACTCACAACAAGTGAAAAATGTCCATCGGTTAAAATGTTGTGAGCAACTTCCGTTCCTCGTTGTGAGCACCCATCTTTGACGTGTGACACGATAAACAAGGTGACTTTTTCATATTTTTGAAGACTACAGACATTTATGTAAAAATATCGGAACGCAGTTAGCTAGCTATCTGTTTTCCGAGTATGCACGTGTAAAGATATTGTCTGTTGGTGGACAATTTGATGGAAATACCGTGCGACGCAGTCACTCGGGGTAGCTGGAAAACTGGAGACAACTTCTCTTTGGACCTAATTTAACATTGAAAACGTCGATTCTGGTGACGTTTTGTGCATTCTTACTTAAAACAGATGCCCACAAGTCATCAGCGTAAATTATTATCTGAAAGTCTTCGTAGAAACGAAGATATACTCTATTTTGCTTTAATCCTCGTTGTGAGCACCATAACCTCGTTGTGAGCAAGACAAGCGCAGTGCTTGTCTGGTTTTAATATGTAATTCAAATGGCAAGAATACAATTTTCAATCTACCAAAAGCAATCAAAACGTTTTTGTACAAAAGTTTTTCTTTGCAATAGTTCTTCTTTTTCTTTTTAAAAGTTTTTTTGAAAATTATTCTTCATATTCACAAGTCATCAGATTAACAGAAGAACTAATCAGTGTAGGTAAATCAGGTATTTTATTTCGTATACTCTAGTTTGGCTCGAGTGAACATTACGTGAGTTTATGAATATGTCAACAATTTCACAGTCTGTGTGATACACACATACATGTGTTTATCCTGAGCTGAAGACTGACCAAGTTATGTAAAACAAGAACTATCACGGTAAGTTGACAATGCCCCTGAAGTGGTGCTTTGTCCTTTGATTTATGGACCAGATAGATTATTTGTTTTTGGACAATTAGATCTTTAATGTGAAGGTAATTCAATGTCAAGGTGAAATACATATAGGTCAGTTGGAAGGTCTTGTCCAAAGGGGCATTGTGTCCAAATATGAATTAAATCAACTTACTTATAAAGAAGTGATGACCAATCTTAAAGTTTTTGGATGTTCTAGAAGGTCATTCACGGTACAAGATAAAAAAAATACAGATCTGTTTGAAGATCTTGCCTAAAGGGGTGTTGTTTCAAAATATGAGTAGAATCCGTTTACTAATAAGAAAGTTTTGACTAATTTTTAAGTATTTGGAAAATTTGACCTTCAAGGTGAAGGTCATTCAGTGGTCAAGTTCAAATAAAATAGGATAGTTGAAAGGCCTTGTCCAAAGATGCGTTGTGCCTAAACATTATGCCAGGACATTATGGCCAATCTTAAATGTTTTTGGACAATTTGAAGGTAAAGGCCATTCGGGGGTCAAGGTAAAAAAAACAGGTCCGTAGGAAGGTGCTAAGGCATGTTGTGTTCAAATATGAATCAAATCCGTTTTCTAATAAGGAAGTTAAGGCCAATGTAAAAGTTTTCGGACGGATTGACGGACGTACCCACTTTTGATATTTATGAGGCAAATCAGCTCATAAACACCACCTGGACCAACGTCCATTAGCAAAATTAGCTCAAAAAATAGCTCTTAATTTGAATTTTATGAGTTTTTGTTCTTTATTTAACTACGGAATGAAGCTCATAAATATCATATATTTGCTCGGACTGACAGACGAACAGTTCAAAACAAATATGCCTTCCTTTGGGGTATACACAACGTCAAGGGCAAAGAAATGCTGCTGTGCAAAAACGTTTTAATTGCTGTGGTATATTGAAAATAATATTTTCACCATCTGAATAACATATTAAAACCATACACGCACTGCGCTTGTCTTGCTCACAACGAGGTTATGGTGCTCACAACGAGGATTAAAGCAAAAAGGGTATATCTTGGTTTCTATGAAGACTTTCAGATAATAATTTACGCTGATGACTTGTGGGCATCTGTTTTAGGTTAAAATGCACAAAACGTCACCAGAATCGACGTTTTCAATGTTAAATAAGTTCCAAATGAAGTTGTCTCCAGTTTTCCAGCTACCCCTAGTGACTGCGTCGCACGGTATTTCCATCAAATTGTCCACCAACAGACAATATCTTTACATGTGCATACTCGGAAAACACATCGCTAGCTAACTGCATTCCGATATTTTTACATAAATGTCTGCAATTTTCAAAAATTATGAAAAAGTCACATTGTTTATCGTGTCACACGTCAAAGATGGGTGCTCACAACGAGGAACGGAAGTTGCTCACAACATTTTTACCGATGGACATTTTTCACTCGTTGTGAGTTAAACGTGCGTGATACATATATAAAATTTCACTAAGTGTTGTTACATCCTTAATTACAACATACAGGATCTTTAACTTACACATGAATCTTTTACAAAAACAAAATAAAATATTTTTTAACAAAACATTATGCTGCTGTTAAAGAAAATATACAAGCATTATGAAGCATATTTCTTTCATACAGATATTTTCGAATTTTTTACAATGATAATAATTTTGTAACCTACAAGCAGAAGATATACAGCTCTATACACTTTAATAAGGTATAAAGAATTTAAACTTGTCAAAAGTCATAAATGTAGTGTAAATTTATTAAAATACTCAACTGTCTTATTGAATGCTTGTGACGCTAATAACTTACTTGTATAACTTATATATCACCTGGCCATATATGACTATACATGCAAGCAGAAATATGTATATTTTTGTATATAGATTATACCCAGGAAAGGTCAGGGTATCAAAAATATGAAAATAAATAGTTTTTGTTTATTTATGGCAAAATCAAATACTAGACTGACATCACAGATGATGACGATTTTGAAAAATGTTTTCACACATCCGGCATTAATATAGGCAGTTTGTTGCTTTAGTGTTACATTTTTGTCTGGTATTGAAGTAATTTTATATCAGTATTTTCTTGTTGTTATTTTAGCAGGACGAGGGTTTTGTGTTTACTCCAGTACGTCTGACCATACCAGATACCCCACCTAGTATGAGGGAGAGAATGAGGAAAATAAAACTGGCAAAAGAAGGTTTGAAAATAATACTGATTTGATTGAACTAGAAATAATCTATTAGTTTTTTGTATTGTATGTGAGACGCAATCTGCCATAATGTTAATGATGTTTTTAGCTCGACTTTTCTATGAAAAGGGGAGCTATCCTACTCGCCCCGGCGTCGGCGTCGGCGTCACACCTTGGTTAAGTTTTTCGTACCACCCCACTTTATTTCAGAAGTATTACAAGTATGGCTTTGAAACTTACCATACTTGTTCACCATCATAACCTCCATCTACAGACAAGAGTACATAACTCTGTCAAGGTTTTTGACAGAATTATGGCCCTTTTTTGACTTAGAAAGTGTATTGAGCTTGGTTAAGTTTTTTTGTACCACCTCACTTTATTTCAAAACCATTGGAGGTATTGCTTTGAAACTGACCATACTTGTTTACCATCACGACCTTCATCAACAGACAAGAGGACATAACTCTGTCAAGGTTTTTGACAGAATTATGCCCCTTTTTGACTTAGAAAATACATTGAATATGGGTAAAATCCACTTATTGCCTTAACCCTTTGAGATATTGCTTTGAAACTTTTAATGCTATTTCACATCATTACCCCCATCTGTACGCAAGAGAAGGTAACTCTGTCAAGGATTTGTTTTAAAAATTAAGGCCTTTTATCGACTTAGAATCTTGGTTAAGTTTTTAGTACCAGTCCACTTTTTGACTGAACTGTTTGAGATATTAATTTGAAAGTTGGCATACTTGTTTACAATCATGATTCCCAAACATGTCCAGGAGAAGGTAATTCTGTCAAAGATTTTATTTGAATTATGGCCCTTAACTGTCAATGTTTGTATTATAGGCAAGCACTAAAAAACTTAAAAAATCTAAAAAAATTCATTCCTATCCACTGAACCTGCAGTGTTCAAGGGTATCACACAATTCAGTAAAATAATTCTTCACTTAATATCTTAATGCTCATGGCCATTGTTCACTTTAAAAATACAGAGATTCTTGTATTGCCTTTTACTGCAAAAACTTTTTTTATTGGCAAGCAATAAAAAAGTCGAGCGCGCTGTCTTACGGACAGCTCTTGTTTGGTTATATTTTAACTTATCTCTTTTATTTTTTCTGCATTACTTCAATATGGTTGAAAGTAATATAAATGTCTTATCTCTGAACTGTAGAGGCCTGAATGGGTCTAAAAAAAGATCATCCGTTTTTCATTTTTTAAAACAAAAACAGTGTAACATTTATTGTCTTCAAGACACACATTTTACGTTAGATATGTACAAAAAGATATACTGTGAATGGAATAATGAGTGTATTTTAAGCCCTGGAACATGTAACTCCAGAGGGGTAGCGATTCTTTTTAATAATAACATTGACTACAAAATCCATAACAAATTTATTGACCCAATTGGAAATTTTATAGTATTAGACTTAACCATTGAAGGGCAGAAGATTACTCTAGTAAATTTATATGGCCCAAATACTGATAAACCCGAAATTTTTTTAATGAAATATTCAGTTTAATTGACAGGATAGAGAATGATTCATATATATTATGTGGTGATTACAATTTAGTTTTAGACCCATTAAAAGACTACTTTAACTATAAAAATATTAATAACAGTAAAGCTGAGATAACGGTTTTGATTAATATTGGTCAAAGAGATATGGTTGACCCGTTTAGAGAGTTTTAATCCAACTTTAAGACGATATACATGGCGTAAACGCACGCCTCTTCAGCAAGCAAGACTAGATTTCTTCTTAATAACTTCAACTTTGTTCCACTTTGTAGAAAATGTTTCCATAACTACAAGCTACCAATCAGACCATTCCATTGTAATATTAAACTTAAAGTTAGACGACTTTAAACATGGCAAAGGCTTGTGGAAACACAACAATTCATTATTAAAGGACATTAACTATTTTAAATACTATAAACGAAAAAATTGACGAAATAAAAATACAATATGCATTACCAGTTTATAATTTTAACAACATTACTGAAATTCCAGATAATGAAATTCAATTTACAATAAATGATCAATTGTTTTTAGAAAAAACTCTTTTAATGGAACTGCGAGGGAAATCTATATCATATAGTAGTTATGTAAAGAAGAAAACTAATTTTAAACAAAGAAAATATCATGAAAGAAATAAATGATTTAGAAGCCGATTTAACTGAAGATAAAATGACGCACCTTCGGGACCTTCAAACAGAGCTTCATAACTTAAATGATTCGCAATTACATGGCTATCTTATTCGTTCTAGAGTTAAGTGGATTCTTGAAGGTGAAAAACCTTCACAGTACTTTTGCAGCTTAGAGAAAAAAAATTACACTTCTAAAACTATTTATAAAATTCAAAAGGATGACGGAACAATTGTTAAAGAACAAACAGCAATTCTCGAAGAATTAGAAAAATATTATCAAAACCTATTTATGGCAAAAATACACAATGAAAATGACGATTCCTTTGAAAATTTTATTTCAAACATAGAAGCACCTGTTTTAAGTCCAACAGAGTCAAATGCTTTAGAAGGTCAATTAAACTATCATGAAGCAACTTTAGTTTTACACAACATGAAAAATAATAAAAGTCCAGGATCTTCTGGTTTCGGCGCAGATTTTTACAAAGTTTTTTGGAAAAAGATTGGAGTTTTTGTCGTTAGAGCTATTAATAACGCATATGAATCAGGCAAACTTTCCATAACTCAAACACAGGGAATAATTACATGTATTCCTAAAGACAATAAACCAAAAGAATTTTTAAAAAATTGGAGACCCATAATTCTTTTAAATACAGTTTATAAAATTGCTTCTGGAGTCATTGCAAATAGAATTAAAAAAACTTTAAACAAATTAATTAGCAAAGATCAAACCGGATTTATTAAGGGTAGATATATTGGAGAAAATTCAAGACTTATATACGACATTATGCATTATACTGAAGAGAAAGATATCCCTGGTCTTCTTCTTTTAATTGATTTTGAAAAAGCTTTTGATTCTTTGTCCTGGTCATTTGTTCAAAAAACATTGTCTTATTTTAATTTTGGAATTTCTATTAAACGATGGTTTAATATTTTTTATAAAGACGCACAGTCTGCTGTAAGTCAATGTGGATTTCTGTCAAATTTTGTAACAATAGGTAGAGGCTGCAGGACAAGGAGACCCGCTTTCTTGTTACATCTTTATTTTATGTGCTGAAATTCTCTCTCTTAAGATAAGAAACTGTAAAGAAATAAAAGGTATAAAGATAAATAATTTAGAACATAAATTAACTCAATTTGCGGATGATACAACTCTTATATTGGACGGGTCAAGCAATTCCTTAAATCAGGCACTTGATGTGTTATCGAAATTTGCTCATATATCTGGACTAAATGTAAACTTTGATAAAACAAAAGTAATTTGGATAGGAAAAAATAAATACTCATCAAATAGCATAAAAACGCGATGGAAATTATCATGGAACCAACATAATTTCAAAATGCTGGGCATAATTTTTGATGTAAATTTGAAACAAATGATACATATAAACTATGAAGATAAATTAATTAAGATTCAAAATTTAATAAATCATTGGAAAAGGAGAATTCTCACTCCAATAGGAAAATCGCAGTTATCAAAACGCTTTTAATTTCAATTTTAAACCATCTTTTTATAGCCATACCATCACCACCTCAGAACATGATAAATAAACTTAACAATATGTTTTATGATTTTATATGGCAAGGAAATGTTAAAATAAAAAATACTGTTATGGTTAAGGACTATTCAGAGGGAGGTTTAAAAATGTTAAACTTAAATGCTGTTATAATGGCTTTAAAGATAAGCTGGTTCAAAAGAATGACTAGCGATGCCTGTTGGAAAAAACATTATTATAAATGAATTTGATATGCAAAAATTATTTCACTGTGGAAAACATTACATAGATAAAATTGCAAAAAGCATTTCAAACGTTTTTTGGAAGGACACTTTTAATGCTTTTTCTACATATATAGATAAGTATCCTATAAATAACGAATCTTTCGCAGAACTACCATTGTTTATAACGATAAATTACTAATTGGCAATAAAAGTATATTTCTTAATTCATGGTTTAAAAGCCGGTGTATATTATATCGGAGATATGTTTGATTCTTACGGTGCTTTTCTCTCATTAGAAGATTTTAATAATATATTCAGGCTTAATGCAAACTTTTTAATCTTTCATGGAATTAAAAAAATGATAAATGAAATGATGACAAAATTTAATTTTAATATGAATGACTTTAAAAAAACTTGTGGACCAAAATTGCCTCCTTATCTAAAAAACATAATTATTAACAATAAAGGATCAAAACAGACTTACAATTTATTGAATACTAATAACACACAACCAACAAGTAAAGCAACCTGGATGAAAAAGCTTGATCTTCATTTTGAGGAAAGTAAATGGAAAGAAATTTACGAAATGCCATTTAAAATAACAAAAGATTCTAGGATACAGTGGTTTCAAATTAGGATTATTCATAGAATAATTGGCACTAACTATTATTTACATAAAATTAAATATAATGATAATCCTCTTTGTACCTTTTGTAAAAATGAAAACGAAACTATCGAACATTTGGTTTTGGCAATGTAGTTTTGTAAAGGACATCATTGATATCTATTTCAAAACAAAAAAGAATATTTTTCCGTCATTAACTGCAGACGAAATGATTTTTGGCTTAACAGATGAAAGTCCTTTATCAAAAACTAAAAAATCTAATTTTAATTTACTTTAAGATGTATATTTATCAATGTAGAATGCAAAAGAGTATTCCCACAGTTTTTGGAGCTAAAAAATATATAACATATTGTTACAACATTGAAAAAGAGACTGCAATGATAAATAACAATGTTGAAACCTTTAATTCTGCGTGGAATTCTTATCTAATTTTCCTTTATGCAGATTAACACAATATTTTTGTTTTCTTCTTCTTATAATTATTATTACTTTTATTATAATTATTATTACTATTATTATTATTATTATTCTCTACATATATGCAGACTTAAACTTTTAGGCTGTATTGACCAATACAAAAACTACACATCAAACTATTATATTTTTACCCCGCTTAAAATGGCTTTAGAAATAAGTAAATGACTGAAAAGATGAATAGATATGATCAATAACAATATCAAAAGCGCAGACTGCAGTGAGAGAGTGCAGATGAATGAGTGTAGTATGTAAAATGAATTATTTTTCTTTTATGATATGTTCTGTTTTTTACTTTGAATTCATTTATAGTTATATGTTTATATACCCATGCTGTAAATACAATGTTTATATTTGATCAATAAAAAAAAAAAAAAAAAAAAAGAAATAATCTATTTTTGTATAGTTTAAAGCACCATGCCTCCAGATTCATGCTAATTTTCATGAAAATTTTGATAATGTATGTAAAAGTATTATTTAGTGAAATAACCACAAGGAAGTAAGTTTTATTTTATTGAAATATCTTAACTTATCTGTAAGCATGCAACTTTAAATGATGGTTAACAAAAATTTATGGTAGTAATAAACAAATAAACATTGAATTTCTCATATTAAATAATCACCAAGGATCAGAATTTTAGGTAAACCCTATTAAAAGTAGATAAACTGATAGCGAACAGCATGGATTCTGATAAGAATGCGCGGATGCGCAGGCTTGTCTGGATCCATGCTGGTGCAAACCCATTATGTTGGTTTTGTCGTGAAGCGGCTCATATATTTTAAGAACAGCACGTTGAAAAAACCCACAAAAACTTGTTATTGCTGATTTTATTGACAAAATATTTTGTACTTCAATTGTTAAAATTTGAACATTAAACCATGGCCTTTTGTTTGTGCTGGATTATTTTATTTGTGATCCTTAATTATAATGCTATCCTTAGTACATACATGTATATTTGAGTGTATATAGAAAACTTATGTACTATAATGTTGATGATTTGTGAATTGATCATGTTTTGTGATTGAAGGTGGTGCTGAATCAACTACTGGTGGTGATGATGATGATAATGATGATGTTGATGATGAAAAACATCTACATCTCAAACAGTTACAGAAAAATCTCTTCAGTAAGATGGTTTTTACTTTACTCTTTTAATTTTCAGGCCAAAAGAGATTCCTTTAGGGGTTTTCCAATCTTCCCTTTTTAAACAGTTGACTCTAGACTTTGTATTTGCCTTTTGTCTTTTCCAAACCTCCCTTATAAAACGTATATATATTATTATATAAATAAAAGATATGTGGAAATAAAAGAAAACATTTCTAACTAGCCTCATTTTTTGGTTGGGGCAGATACTTTTTTGTTATTTGAATATGATTTGCTTTATTTTGACCTTACAAGGATTTAGAATTGTCAATATTTTACTTAGGTTTTATGAAAAGTAATATACAAAGTTTATATTTCAGACTGATTTATGTTAGCTCATAATTTGTTTAAATAAAATGGTCTTTTATGCTGTCCGAAGGGTGAGCATATAGTCGCTGCTTTGTCCGTCCGTAATGATGTTCGTCTGTCCGTCCGCTATTCTTGTCAAGGACATAACTTTGAAACAACAAGAGGTATCAACATGAAACTTTGTAGGTACATAGATCTCATTGAGTAGAAGTGCATTGCAAAAGAATCATAAGTCTGTCTTGGCTAATTTTGCAATTATTTCCCTTTGTTCATTTTTACACTTTGAACTTTGTCCGGGATATAATTCTAAAACTATGAGAGATATCAACATTAAAAACTTTGTGGGTAGATACATCTTATTGGGTAGAAGTGCAGTGCAAAAGAACAATAACTCTGTCTTGCCTAATTTTGGAGTTATTGCCCTTTGTTCATTTTACACTTCTTCGAACTTTATCTGGGACATAACTCTGAAACCATAAAAGGTATCAACATGAAACTTGCATAGCTCTGCTTTGCTTGATTTTGGTTATAGTTATAGCCCTCTGTTCATTTTTATGCTTTGAACTTTGTCTGTGACATAACTCTGACACTACATGAGGTATACTTACCTGTATCCAAAACCTATTCGGGGAGCATCACCTGCTTCAACAGGTTCTTGTATTTATTTTCATGAAGTTTTACGTTAAAAGCTAGTTTCTTTTTAATAATGTATGCTTGACATTTAATGCTAAGTTATGTTGAATAACCTATTCCTCCTCTCTTCAGAATCAATGGTGTCAAGTGGTAACCGTTCTGGTACAGATGAAAGTCCTCGTGGTACGACATCAGTATTTATGTCTGATTCTGATGATACTAATGTTGAAGAGGAGGATCCCTTCATCGTTACAAACCAGGACAAACCGAACAAAACATCGAAACATGACACCAGTGTTGATAGTGAATCTTCTGTAAATAACGACATTATCAAAATTGCTCAGAATATCAACGCAACTTTGGCTAGTCAGTTAGACAGGAAAGGTTCAGGGTCTTGTGTTTTTGGTTTAGACTCGGATGAAAACCTATTAAGCTCTCAGGAGATTCAGGCTGTAATTAATTTACCTGTGAAGTTAAAACAGGCTGTTCATGATGCTACTAGTGCATTGAATAGTGTGGAAATAATTAAAAAACCTAGTAGCACTGGTGCTTGTTCTAGTAGTTCAGGTGTTGATAAAAAGACAAATCCAAAACAAAAGAATGATATTACAGATGAGGAAAACCTGACTGTTACTAAAACTAAAGTTGGTAAGAAAACAATGAAAAAGAAACTTTTGTCATTAACAGATTTAACAGAACAACATTCTGTATTAGTAGAACCAACAAAATTCTCAACAGAGGATAGACCACAGTTAGAGCCCTCTAAAGGGAAAAGGGGCAGAAAAAAGAAAGGTGATTGTGTAGAGAAAGCATCAGCTAGTAACAATGACAGTTCCAATACAAGTAATGAGGTTGTAAATGAAGAACAAAGTAATGATAATGATGAAGAAAGTAGAACAAAAAATAATGTGGTTAATAAAAGGAGCAGGAAAAGAAATTCTAGTGAAGGATTGGAAAAGGATGGAAAGTGTACAGTTGGTAGAAAAAAGAGAAGTAGTGTTGCTGCAGTGACAGGACAAGGTAAGTCAAAGAGAGGAAAGAAAACACTTGTTGATGAAACATGTATTGATGTGGCCACTGACAAAACTGATAAAGAAAATACAGGTCATTCACCAGTGACAAAACTGCAGGATGTTACAACACAGTTAAATCTTACTAAAGATAATGGTTTAGTATGTTCTATAAGAGAAACAACATTGTCATTATCAATGTCAACAGCATATACTGATGCAAATATGCCATCTTTTCTAGTAAGTCAGCGTCGCAGTATTGATGAATTTAATGACTCTCAGAGAAACAATAAAAAACGTAGAGTGAGAGATAGGTCTGTTTTGACTTCAATTAGTGAACAAGAGAATTGTGGTGACTCTTCATCTAATGATTCTAATAGATGTGTGAACAGTAGTAAAAGACATGGTGATATAAATATGTCTCAACATAGAAAGATAGTACGGCCATCTTTGGTTATGACAAGTCTTCATTCATAGTAAGTAAACTGGTTGTACATAGAAGTTTTTTATTTGTTTAAAATAAGACACAGTTATATTCTGACAGTTTCATTAGAACAAGATGCAATTAAAAGAAATGTTTTATGATTTACATTCTATGTGCAATTAATGACTGATTTTTTCAGTATTTAAAAATTTATTGCCATGTTTCTACTGCATGACTTGACACAGTAAGAGTTATTTTTGCATCTTCTGACCTCTTTTTGGGTAATTTTGTGGATTGTACATGCTTTTTGCAATTCATAAATTACTTCCTATGTTCATTTCATAATACTTTACTTTTAAATACATTTTCAAAGTTTCCATGAAATTAAGCATGAATCTGGAGGCTTAATGCTTTAACATTTTTGATTTGTCTCCCAACTAAACTTCAATTCAAAGATTTGTCCATTATTGTTTTACAGTGAACAGGATGTTGTGATATCTGTGGTGAAGAAACTTGGTGGGTTTGTTATAACAGACAATGTTAATGAGACAACTACACATGTTATCTGTGGTGAATCACGCAGAACACTTAATGTGCTATATGGTCATGCACGAGGTATTTGGTTACTCAGCAAAGAATGGGTAAATATCTGTTTCTAATAGAAGCATGTTTAAACAAAACAACTTTTCTTTAAAACAATTTCAACAGAAGAGCATGCTTATGACTATGAAAGTAAATGTTTGATAGTGGAAACCATATCAAACACAGGGTGAATTTACTGATCTTCATGTACCTTCATTGAGGCAAAGACTTTGTTTCATTTTGTCAAATTTTAAGTTACCAATGAATAGTAAATTGACAGACTAATCAATGTAAATTGCTGATTTTAAGTCATGTGTCACTTGACATTGCAGATTCAAAATTCAAATAATGTTTGAAAAATTCATTTCTTTCATATGAGAAAATGTTTAAGATGCTCATCTTGTGCCATAAGGGAATTGATTTTTTTTCTTCACCAGTTAATCTTGTAAATTACTCGGAGTATATCATTGCATTTCATGATGTTATTATTATAAATGATGTAACTTTAAAAAATTATTTTCATTTCTTTTTGATTGTTATTTTACCTTCCCTTTACCTTCCCTCTTCTGATCTGATATTGAATAATGATAATTCATAATGCATTATTCAGGTATTATCTTCCCTCGAAGCTGGAAAATGGATTCCAGAACAAGAGTTTGAATGTATAGATATTTTTCCTTTTTGTAAGGTAAAGTATTGTTTTCAAATCAGTGCAGACTTAACCATTGATATAAAGTAAAAATGATATATAATGATCATATATATTTAAAATATAAATTTATTACTTGACTTGTAATTAATTTCTGTAAAATGCAAATTAGTACTTTGACTGGATGTCTGGATGATACTTATTGTATTTACATATTTCACCTGTCAGCCAGTTTCCAAAGTCTGTCTGTAAAACATCAAGTGTTTCTGATGTCAGCTTCCAACACTGCATATACATATAGAGTATGGTTTGTTTAAAACAATAATGAGTAATGTCTACATACACCCTTCTGTTGCATTATAAATTATTTTATCCCAGCCATGTTCATAAACATCAGAGATATAAACCTTTGACACATACTTGACACATACTTGACATTTTTTACAGATTTTTTAGAATTATTATTTTAATGTTGCTAAGAATGAATGTGCCTTAAAAGTTGAAAGAAGAGTGCATTACATTTAGCCAAAGTAATGTCTTATTCATGCTTTTCTTCTCCAGTTAACTGCAGATATTCATGTTTATCTAATAATTTGGGATAAGATACAGAAAATATAAAGAAATAAACTAATGAACCTGTGTCAAAGGATGTTGACAGCATTTGTATATTTAAATACTTATATTATCATGTGATATTGACTGCATTGAAGTTTACTGTCTCAGTGACCAATATATAACCAGAGTCATATCTGAAATACATTGCACACACAAACAAAATTGACTCTGTATGTAATACATGATGTATATATTTGATACCAAAAAACTCAATTTATTTAACTTGATCCCTGGTCTTACATTGACAAATTCTTGTTTACATACTACAGGTAGCAAGACTGGACTGTGGAAACAGCCTTGATCCCTACAGCAGACAGTCATTGTTTAAAGGAATAGGACGTGTATATATATCTGGCAGATGTCAACCACCTAGACAACATCTTGTTCAGCTTCTTAAGTTATGTGGAGGCCAGGTACATACTTCCTTTATAAAATGGAATTAAAGATGTATACTCCCTGTGAAAATTCAGGTTGTAACAACCTTACAGGATTGGAGTTAATTCCTCATAATAATGACACTTAATTTGCTAAAAAATAATTGCTCTTAGTTTAAAGCAACAGTCTCATTTGTGTGATATTGATTCACCTATAGACATCCACCTTTTCATCCATGTTTTCTTTTACTATGTCTCAAAACTAGTAAGCATCAAATATCTAAATGTATCAATATTTTCATGATTTTTTTGTTACTTCAATATGAATGTATTATGTTTTTGATACCTTGAAAACAAATGGCAAAGGTCTACAGTAAAGAGAGTACATCAGTTATAACATTCCTGCAGTCTGGCCAAGGTTGATACTTTTAGCCTTCTTTATTTATCAATTGGATTTTTAAATTGCTTATATTGACACCAGGTTGTTTCATATTCAAAACAAGATAAATGGCTGTTAATTGTTGTATGAAAAACATTGAAAAGGTTATTCTGTGTGGTGATAAACATGACAGAAGTATAACACAATAGTGCCAATACATCAGAAAAAAAAATCACACTCTGCCCTGGATTTGAACACCTGACCAGTGGCTTTCAAGCAAGTATGCTCGTAAACAACACTCAAATCCACTGAGCCAGAAATTCAGTTCACCAATGCAGTTGTGAGAGGTTATTTTATAGTAAATGAGAAATGTGTGTGATTGTAATATGTAACACATCCCCTTTCATATAGTCTTCAGCTACTTAAAATCTCAGGTGTTTTTACAGAAAACGTTTTGGATTTTATATAAAATCCAGGAGTGGAAATTGTCAACAAGCCTCCATCAGATGATCTTACAAAGATTTCAAAATACAAATTTATCATAAAAATCCTGTCATGTGTGAGCTTGTATGTAACAATTTATACTGGTTCTATTACAGGTGATAGGTGTGAAGGAAAGAGCAAGTGTATACATAGGGTCTGACTACCACCCTGGCATGACCTGTGTCGAAACTAAATGGCTTCTAGGTAAATATTCCATTTTCTTATTTGATAAGTCAATATTTGTTGTACATGTAAATATGATAATTATATGCTTATAGGTCATGAGCCCAATACAGCAAAGATGTGTTATCTTGTGTAAAGACTTCACAAAAAACAACATTGGAATTGTCTATGAAGACGGTTGGCCCAAGTGATGAAATTTTTGAATTAAAAAAAAAAAAAAAAACGTTTTTACACTTATTTACTTCTTTGTGTGAAGTGACAAATTCACAAGCAAATTGAGTTATAACTTGAGTTTTAAATGATTGCCTTAAAAATTTAAATATCATTTCCCATTGTGAAGTTAGTATTTTAAAGATAGGAAATCTGTATTTTTAGAGTCATGTGTGAATTTGATAGCAATGTTTATATCATTATGTTATGTCAACGTCATTGAAGAGAATGAAGTAATGATTTTGTAACTTCTATTTTTAGATTGTATAATGGGTCATAAGCTGTTACCTATGGATACATATTACCTGGACAGACCTAAGAGAGAAAGTAGTCCTGTATATTGAACTCTGATTAACCTCTGTTTTATGTGTAGTTATTATTCCCGCCCTTTCTTGTATGACTGGGTCTTACTATAACTTAATAGTTTATAAAAGGAGTGGATTGATCCATGTTGAATATTTTGAAACAGTTTTATCTGTCAGTAACAAAGAAGATTTATAAATACAGTATTAATTACCTAAATGTGAATTGTGTAGAATTAATGCAGTGGACTTCATTTCCTTTAACAAGAAATTGTACATAGTTTTAGGGATTCTATGTGGCAAGGCACATTTATATAGAGTCTTATCACCAGCGCTGACTGTCATTTTATATACTCATAAATGTAGTTACGAAGTTATAATATAACATGCATTTGGATAGCTTACATCTTGAATTATAACGACTCTTGTAAACTTAGGAAAGTCAGATAAAGACTTTGTGATCAAGTTCTGTTGCTGTTTCCATTGAATGCAATGTTTGAAAATGTACTTATGTCTTTTGGGCCATACCTGCATTTTTGTAGGTCACTACCAATTGTTATTTCATAGTTGATTTAGCTGCATAATGTCTATTTTGTGTATCAAATCAGGCAGCTGTGGTCTTAGGCATTAGATTGCGACCTTTTATATCAGTGAATCTCAAATGAGAATCTTGAACAACAATGACCCTGCTGTTGAATTTTTGTTCTAGTCTATTTGCAAAGCCCAATTCTACCTCTTATAATTCATTTTGGGCGAGATTTGCTAAAGTTTTATACATAATAAATGTGCCACTAACCCTTTTTGAACAGTTTGACTTATTATTCTTTGATTGTTTCTTTAAACTTAGGCAGACTATTATTTTTAAGTGTGACGAGCTATTTTAAAGTAATAATATTGAGTATTTATCTAGAATAAAGTACTGCTAAAATATATGTATATTTATACTGAATAATAGTTAATAATCTGCACATGTTTAAACAGTGAGCATGCTTTAGTCAATGAAATTTTTTTATATCAAAAATTACAAACTGTTAATCACTTAGATAAATCTTTGAAATAAAAGGTTACAAGTATGACTTTGATGTTTGTTTTACTTGGATTTCCTATGGTGTTTTTAATATATGTACATATGCAGCTGTTAAATGTTGAGTTTAAACAATGATGCGTTGCTATTATAGGTTTATGATTCTAGAGACATGCCAGCTCAGACTTGATACAATGGGCTTTAATATTATGATTACTGAAGGTTTGTGATTATAAACACATGCTTACTCATGCTTGGGATAATTAACTTAGATAATGTGGTATCACTGTACGTTGGTGACTCCCATACACAAGCTAATCGTTGCCATAAATGATGTTCTATTAAGTTGATGCTTCTAGTCTAAATCAGGAGCTTGTTTGTACCTGAAATAATGGACAATCGTGATGGTGAATTCCTGAAAGTTTGTGGTTCTAGACACGTGCTAGTCGTGCCTGAAAAAGTGTACGGCAATGATGTGGTTTTCGAAGATCTTGGGTGGTTTTAGTCACTTCATTTTATGTGCAGGAAATAAAGGACACCAATGTGAATGATGTTGTATTACCGAGGGTTTATGGTTCTAGTCATGTGCTAGCTACAGTAAGTAAAACTGAATGCCACCGTATTACGGGAACTGTGTCCGAGTTGCAATAACAAAATATGGCCTCATGGTATGGCTAGCATTTTAAAATATTTGTTCAGTTAGAAAATGTATTATTAAATGATTGCTTGATATTGTTCTATTTATGTCAGGGTTCCAGTCTAGATTCTACTTTGTTACCCGACAGTAATAACATGACTCTTTCATTGTTTGATAGTAAACATTATGTGACCTCGGACAAGTAACATTAGGATAGCTGCCCTTGTGGGTTCAAACCCCGTCAATTGATAAGCTGCTGTTAACACTAATTGCTTAGTACTTGTTGATACAAGGGACGATTTAAAGAGTATTTTTTAAAAGCTTATTGCTTCCTACACAAATCAAATAAATTCTGTATAAACTAAACATTAACGATATTTTGTCTGTAGATAAAGTTTGGAGGCATGGATTTTTTAAATAGTACAATACCATTGCACTATAAAAAGTACAGAATTATGTCAATTTTTAGAAATGAAAATTCAAACGGCTTGGCTTTGTTTTATTTCATTTAATATTTCGCCAAATTTACGGATTCTAATTTTGTTTGAAATAATGCTGGACTGTACCACACACGCGAGATGTAGGTCTGTGTAACTGGTCCTTGGTTACCTCGGTAACAGATACAAATTTCAATGTACTCAACAATCTCAACTGAAATATAGCATAATACATAAAATAAATGACACTTGTTACCAAACTTTATTGACTGTGATAAAAACCTAAAAGCCTTGTTTTTAGATACTTAATTTCCCATCAGCATTTGTGTTTTGTTTTGTTTTTGGCTCGGAGGAAACTTGGAATTATGTGTGGTTGATTACTCAGATGCGTGCTCGCGCCTGACATAATGCATGGAGTGTCATACAGGTCTTCCTCCAAGAAAGATTAATATACACGTATAGTATAAGTTATCATAAAATGCCAGATAAAATGAGTTAAGTACATATTTAACTATGTATTTGCGTGCAGCACCATGTCCTCGCGTGTTTTTTTTTGTTTTTTTTTTTTTTTACAATTAGCATGCAGTTTTAGAATAACGCACTCGGGACTTCATGCCAATATGCATTGTAAATACCTATCACACTCTCGAGGTTTTCTTACTTCACATATTGCAGATACAGCATAACGCCTCCAGGGCTTGCTTACTTTATTATGTTTTAAGCCCTCGAATTTAATAAATATGTGCATTGCACTAGCAGCTTCTTGCCCTCGGGGTTGTTTACTAGCATTATTTATGTGACATTAGGCCTTCGGATTTAACTGCAATGCAAATTAGAGAAAAGGAGAATATTTTTTTCAAGCTTAGTTACTACGTTAACGAAACACAAACAAAGAAAGTTACCAAGCACACCGTCGAGGTATATTCAATGCAGAAGACCGGCGCGGACTATACTTACCTCAACAGCCCTGATACCAGCATCTGTATGTATAGCTGCTCTCTCATCGTCTGACAAGTCAAAGATGTAACACGTGCGCACGCTGTCTATGAACGTCACCACTATCATGTTATGCTGTCAAAAATGAACGGTACATGTACGAGTATAAATAGTTATAGTTTACAAAACAGATAGAGGAAACATGTACATGTAGTGACTACTCTGAATTTCCGCGCTTTCAAGCTTTTAAAGTTTTATGCTTAAGGTGAATGCAACAATGTCTGTCAGTAAAGCTTTATTCACTGAATATTATTTTTTGATTTTGTTCGGGAGAAGAATATGGCAGTAGTTTAGATCTCTCACAATTTTAAAGTAAAGTAAATAAACTTACAAAATGTGGTTCGTATTTAAAAAGGAAGGTTTCATGTTCCGCCGGTTCACGTGTTTGGTGTATGGCTGTACTGAGGTTTGGAGCCTTAGTTGTTGACATGGACTGGAAGAAAATAAAGTCAAAATTTTGAACTCATTAGGTACTAAGAAAATAAGCAAATCACATCTCAGACGGTATAGTTTGTACAGACACAAACCTAATCTCGTGCTCTGTTGTAGATAACAATAATAATAGTAATATAATTGTGACTATTTCAAACGCTATTTTAGCAGAAATTCAACTAAAGTCATATAGAACTGGCTATACATATAAGTATAGAAGAATTGACGTAATCTCAAATATGTTTGTAATAGAGGTACTACGGAACACGGCCGGAGGTCCCACCCCCCTCTTATCTCGAAGTACAATCAAATTTTGCTGTTACAATTTGTTAAATATATTGATATTGTGAACGGTGGAGCACCGTTAAACCTTTACGTTAAATTTGTACCCCGGGATAAGATGGGAAATACTAACAAATGCCGAGTTTCTGGTTAACTTCAATTGTTATTTCGTGTTTTAATTTGGCATACAACGAGCAGACCTATAATTATGCTAATTAAATTGGTACCTATATAATTGCTTATACTCGTATATACTCACCAAGACAAAATTCACACCCATAAAACATATCAAAATCTCTCGAATCATATTTATATTTCTAACACACACTGCTAAATGACTTTATATCTTGACTGAAATACAAAATAATGTACATGTATATGTAAACATAATCTTATCTTTCAACATTGACATGATTGCCTTACAGTATATATACTGGTAAAATTAGGAAATGTCATGGCCATAATGATATAAATGTTTTTTTTTAAGGATCATAGATATTTTCACCGGACCGGAGAAACTCCGCCATAAACAGGATTGCTTGTTCTTTACTTAAATTTTATTTGAAAACTCTGGATTATCCTTTTTACTTCTGAGTATAGGCTTATTTATATTATCAAGAAAGGACTTGAGACTTTAAAATAAAAAAAATTAAAAAACTTTTGGGTCGTTACCACAAAATTGAATATTTATTATCACAAATACAAGAAGTACATACAACCATCACAAATACAAGCAGTACATACATTGCAAGGGCTTAGAAATATTCAAATCAAAATCTCTCGAATCATATATAATATCAACGTTGATAGTTTTTGTGGGTTATAGAGTGGTCTAGTGTGTTTCTGTTCATAACACGCGATAATCACACGTGAATCTATAATAAACCTTTTTTGATTTAAAAAATAATCTATTGGCATATCTTCGTACATATCAAAAGTATCATTACAAACAAGAAACTTGATTGGGCTACGAGTTATAAATAGCAATGTCATCAAACGACCCGTTCCATATCTATAAACGTGCATAAAAACAAGTCTTATCAAAAAACTACACCCGAGAAATTTTAAGTCATATACTCCCAGTTCAGATAAACGACTTTTTTTGGCTTTGCAAATACCCACACACCCAGAAATTTTACTAGTTGTCCATTTTAATTCTAGGCTACAACACTTGGAATTGGCGAGATTTGGTGCATCTTCTTTATCTAATTTAGACTCTAATATTGTGTTTAAATAAGCTCTAAAAGAATAATAATATAGAGGATATTTGTTTAGTTCAGTGTAAGATCGGAATATATTTCACCGAGTGACACCAAAAGGTATATTTCACGAGTGACGCAGTCACGAGTGAAATATGAACTTTTGGTGTTCACAATGTGAAATATAATTCGATCTTACACTACAGTAAACTAAACAAATTTTCACTTTATTATATGTAAAGAAACGTTTTAAAAAGACATTTAACCTAATACTAAATGAAAAGCACGCCAAATAAAAATACAACGTGACGTCATTTACGTCGTCACGTCATTAGGTTGGTTTCCAGTACTGTGCACGCTGGTATTTCACTCAAAACAGTGAAATTATCAGATTGATAATTTCACTGTTTTAAACAGTGAAATTATCAGTTTTATATCACTGATATATTTCTATTAACCACCGAAAAGCATGCAATAAAGACCACTTATCACACGACGCTAATACGACATTGCTGTAATAGCGGACGTAAGCTATACTGTGGCAGGAAATTTGATAAAAAATATACGTCAGGAAAGATAAATTGTTAGACTTTTAAATGCTATAAACATTTGCACTTTTGAAAATAATATAAATCTGGCTTATCTTTACACATGTATTGTATGGTCACAGGGCACTAGAATGGCATTACGCTTAATTCAAGTCTGTGTCACTATGAAGGATGGCTTCGTATATAGTCGTTGCTTTATCTTCTTGTATATATGTATCAACATAATGTAGCGTCCACATCATAATATTTTAGTCTTTGTCATCTCCATTCCAGTTAAAGAATCAAGAAAATTAGCCTGTATAACTTTTGTTATATTCATGACATATCTTAATTTCTAATTAATTGTTGAATCGACACTTAATTTTATGAGACCATTTGAAAGAAAGTAAAAGAAAACATATTGTAGAAATCTTTCAAATCTTAGCTAATCACAGCTTTGAATTGTCGCTAGAGATATTGTCATTTCATTTATACAATTTTGCATGAATATATTACAGGACTTAAACAGAATATTTTAACACTGTACATTGTGTATACAATTTTATATTTAACATCATTTGTATTTTCATTTAGTTTTATCATATCTTTAAATTGTTCAATTCTGCTGTACCTTTTTAATGGAACCAATATCTATTTCGCCGGTGTCATGAAATATTTATTTCACAATAATAACATACTGTGTAATAAAAAAAAGAAAAAAAAGACAAAAACAAACAAACATACTTATACTCTTTGATAGCGAAAGAATTAAACGAATTTCATTGAACGACGCCTGCCTTGTTGATCTTGTTTATCATATTTTTTACTATTTTGAGCACAAAATAAATCAGGAACTCAGTTATAACTTTTCAATCTTTTAATTTGTCATATCTAGACAGTACAATAATCAGGGAGTTGCTTCCTTGTAGAATGTTGTAATATGACGACCACAAATATGGGCGGCTTTAGCATCCAAATCTTCTTTCGTTGTTGTAACAACCGCGTTTGTACTGAGGGCTGTCAACAACTTCAACTGCAAAATGAAAATACTTGTTAATAGGTATATCCACATTGATATCCTTTATTACGGACGTTTGATATAAGTTTAAACTGAATTAATAAATATTTCTTTTCTATTAAGCTTGACGTTCATATGACATTAAGACAAAGACAAGGAGAAATGCGCATTTAAAAGAGAAATAATGGATGAAAGTATTAATATTTTGTAATGAAAAATACATTTCAGCTGTAACATAATGTGTAACATGACGTCCACATATCGTCACCTTAGGGCAGTAACAGTAACTCTTTATAAAAATCGAATAGGAGTTAACTTGTAACTGCACAAACCTGGCAATATGCAAGCAGTATAAGCGCACTAAATATAATACGACTATTATTACTGTATGTCAAAAGTGTACTTTTGTCTGCTCAATTTGAGAAAATGTACAATACATGTACAATGTATATAAAGTTGACAGCGGACAACTCAAATCTGGACACGCCATTAAAGAAAAATAAGATGGATAAAGTTGAAACACGTGACCATACCTCTAGTGCTTTCATACCAGCGTCTGTATGTACGTCTGCTCGTTCGGCGTCTGAGAGAGAGAAGACGTAACATTCATGTCCGGTAACTACCACCATCTTATGCTGAAATTACAATCAGACATTTATAAAGCCTTCATCGGTATAGGACTAAAATACAAAATATGTATGCTACTAGTCACTAGACCGCTTTTTGGTATTTCTATTTGGTATTTACTATGATTTAGTTAAACTCTGGATCAAATGAGATTGTGATTGCCATATATGACAATTAACGGCAGTTTGTATTATTTGCTTTAAAATGACGACGGGCTGATCATTTTCCACAATGTCTTTGCTAAATGGCCTTATGTTAGCTAATCTGTCATGTTGGTAATTTCGATTGTTATTTTTAATATGCAGAACATGTTTAAATCTTGGCGTATAGTAAACATTTACATTACAGTAATTTGAATTTGCACATTTTCCAGAAAATTGATTGTAATATGAGTGTATGTATTAATATATTGTTTATTTAACAGGTTACCATGTGCGGTTCGTAGACGAATTTAAACGACTCGTGCGCTGCTGGTTCTAACGTTGCCCTCGAATGGTGATGATGATGTGTCGCTTTTGTCGTCGCCGGTGAGGGTGCAGTCGCCGACTGAACGAATAAATTAAGAGAAGATATGGCAAAAGTATGTCAAGATATAAATATCAATAGTTCTTAAGTGTTTTTATTCTTAATTTCTAATAGAGTTGCATTGTCACACCATATACGGATCCCTTCAAATGGGGTAAAGGTGAAATACATGGATTGAATTGTCTGCTCTTTAAGACAGAAGGAATGCGCAACCCCGAATAGATCTTTTTGTGGTAAAAATGATGTTACAGGTAACGATTACGAAAGAAAAACATAAGCAAATATAAAGGAGTTTGCTCTTTGTATGATGTTTAACCTTTGTTTGTTGGTTCTTCGGTAGATCTCGAATACCGGTAGGTCTTTCAATTTTACAATTGGCTTATTAATTTTGGGATATAATCAATTTATTACTGTAAATTACTAGTAAATTGACTAAATGATTCTACAAAATAACAGGTGTTATCTGCTAGTTTAGAACCATGATTTCAGTAAAAGTTTCAAGAACACACATGTATACTGTAATCTCAAACAATAGACTAGCAGTAAAGGAGAAAACAAACAAAAACAATCAAGCAAACAAACAAACAAACAAAATGTTCTCAAAAGACTAATAGCATCTCAGAATTAACCGGAACAACCGTCACATTTTTATATATAGTTGCTCCGAATTAACTTTGCGGTAAAGAGCTTTGTCAACTCTAATCTTCTCTTATATTCCTTTACAAAACATAATACGACTGTCTATGTTGATAACTACTACCTCGTACCTATTCAAAATATTGACCATCTAAATCCCCCAGTCCCGTACCCAGTATTATCTTAATTATTTCCAAGGTATTGTAAAAACCTCCCATACCAGATAAAAACCAGTACAAGCCTAGATATTGTTAAGATTAGGCTAGCGTCAGCTCCTCCCTAGACCCCCACCCCTCTGTATGTTTCTTTCATAACCTTGCACGCATTTATCTGTGGACTTCTATCTGTTTACTCCGTACATAACTATTTTAACTGGTTTTCTGACAACGTGCCTGCCAGTTATGGTCAGAGCTGATTGTTCGGGAGTAATACGTAGATTTAGTTCCCTACGGTAAAAACCAGTTCGCCCCATTGGTGCTCTTTTCGAAAGAATACATATAGGGTATGACAAAGCATGTGTCCAAATTTTATTACATTGGCTGACGTTTGACACAACTGTTTATGTATTTTTATTCACTTTTCATATAAAAAAGAAGTCACAACAAAGTTTATATCATATTTTACAGAATGTACGGAATTTTGTAATATCAATACTGAAATTAAAACATGCAATATAATGGAATTATCACGGAAATGAAGTATTTTGCTTGTCATCCAATTCATGTACATTTGTATATTGTGATACAAATTGATACGTGTTTGTAAATGAGTAAGTCTTTGTATCAGCATTACAAATCTTTTTATTTCAAACTTTGAAAACTAAATCGCGCTTTCGTCGTAGACAGTGTATCATTTAGTTAATATATTTTGTCTAACTCAAAACTATTAGCTTTGGAAAAAGGAAATCAAAATATTACAGAGAAAGAACAGAATCCTCAAAGAACGCACAAACGGCGAAATTGAAAATGTTGCAGGGTCGGTTTTAATTGAGCCCGTTCATGGACGGTAGTGGTAATTGCAAGTTACTGGCCACGCCCTCTAGCACCGGCTTAAACGTGCAAAATTAAACATTTAGAATTGAGAACGGCGGAATTTGAATTAAGAAGCATCCGCAGATGTGTTCATACAGCAGTTGTCTTGGAATTTTCTATGTGAAACGTGCATGTCAATCACAGAAAGGCTGCATTAAAGATTGCAGTTTATTTCTTTGTTGTAGTTGTCTTTGTTTTTGCTTTGACGATTCATGTAATTGTTTAGAAAATAGAAAATAAATAGGTATCATTGAATTTAAAAAAGTGACAATACCTACCCAAACACTGACAGCACAAAATGCGGTTACGATAATTGCCTCTTTGATCATGGTTTACTGTTATCCTCAAGAGTTTCTACTAACACTAAACTCAATGATATTACATTAGTAAATGAACTCAAATTCTTATCATCTTAAATGGTCACGATTAGGTTACGGACATGTAACATCAACCAAATTTAAATATGTCGTATATAAGAATTTTTATCAGATATGTAGCATATAGCATTATGTAAAGGCCATCTAGTTTTCTGATAGAAACATCTTTGTCTTCGTTGACCAAATATCTATTTCGCAGGATATTTGAATCATTTTTATTTACGTTACACTAACATTCGATTTCATGCGAAATTCTCCAACTGTTTGGGATCGAATTAACGATCTACGTTATGAAACGACGTTCTTACAGCAATGTTTTTTTTTCTAAACATATATGCCAATTGTTGGAATGGGATTTATTCTGGAGAATTAAATACATGTGTACAAATATCTCAGTATCAATTCTAAGTCAAAAGTACACCCTTAAAGAAATAAAACTATCCCATTTTATTAGTTCTCATTTTTCTTCGTTGTGTCGGGTTGAGGGTAGGGGCACATGTGGGTCTCATTTTCTTCTTTTTTGCGGGTTGGAGTTGGGCTTTGGGCACACGCCGTGGGCCTTATTTACATCTGAGGCATATAAGTTTGCTTCTTTGAAAAGAAAAATGCAAGAGGTCTTCTTGCAGCTGAGGAAGATTTGTTTAATTGTTCAAATGGCGGGAAAGTAAGAATTTCTGATTGATTGAATTGCATCTGCGAGCTATAACAACATATCAGTCTCCAAGTAATAGGCGAGATGTTCCTTAGTTAAATGAGGGAGCAGCAATATTTCGGTACACGGTTCACTCGGTCATAATTATAATAGTGTTTGGTGATAGTGTAACTATAGTGCTAACTGTTACTGTTTTCGAAACGTTTAATAGGAAAAAACTATTCTGAAATCATTAATTAATTTATAGTTTTAATTGAATGAACCACTGTTCGTAGAGTTAAATGCTACGTAAATGATATTTTCTGATTTTTCCTTTAACCGATTTGCTTACCTCGATGTGAAGTTTTCGTTTAAGTCGTATTTTAATTTTAAGAGGAGAATGCACATTACCATTTTTGTAGACTGGTTCTAATGACTTTAGGCTTTCAATGATATTTGAGCCGCGTCACGACAAAATCAACATAGTGCGTTTGCGACCAGCATGGATCCAGACCAGCCTGCGCATCCGCGCAGTCTGATCAGGATCCATGCTGTTCGCTTACAAATCCTATTACAAGTACAGAAACTGATAGCGAACAGCAGACTGCGCGGATGCGCAGGCTGGTCTTGATCCATGCTGGTCGCAAACCCATTATGTTGGTTTTGTCATGACGCGGCTCACTTATTGACTTCAATATGGCTGCCGAAAGCAATCATTTTCAACACTGTGAAGAGGTCTAATGACCTCTAAAAGAAGACTAATTTTCTTCAGTAGAGACGATAGACTGATCCACAATCATAAGGAAAACATTTTGTTTTAAAGATGTCACATAATGAATATTTATATATTTTTCATTAAAAACAGCAATACCAAGATTCAAACCACATCACGTCACCTTAGTGCAGTAACAGAATAAGTCCTTCTGAATTTATAAGGAGTTAATCAGTTATTGCACTAATTAAGGTGACGAATTCAATTTAAGGAGATTTCAAAAGATGTGCATCTTTTGAGAATATTATTGAAATATACTTTTGTTTCACCTTTCTTTTAGAAGCATTTATTATAATGATGTTTCTCTTTCAAATTGCTCTATATGACCGTTTGTATTTGACATCCTGCACTTTTTATATAAGCTCCAGCAGAAAAGCCAACATTTATATAGCGGGCTGCTTAACTCTTCCGGCCCTACTCCCACGTTATGATTTTAACCATTCGGAACTGCCTCGGCTATTATCTATAATAACCTTAATAATAATAATCCTTATCCGAAGACTGACGGAAAAAGTCGAGTAGTTGCGATTGGATTTTGTCAGATTTTGAGTGCCACGTGATCGATTATAAAATTTCATAATCATGTGCACTGTAATGTTCAATGACGTCAGATTTTAGATGATCAAAACAGTTAATACTATAAAATAAAGTAGGTTTCTAGCACGGGTCGTTTGATATTTTAATTAAAACTTAAATGTTATTTGCAAACACATTTTTATTGGAATTCAAAGACCCAAGAATGGACTTTGTAAACAAATAAGGGAAGCAACTCTGTAGTAGTCTATTATACGTCTATCAACATAAAGACTTGTTAAAGCGGGCAGAAAGCTGATACTCTGTCCTACCATTTACTCGCTTTCAGGAAAACTGGTAAACCAAGCTTCAAATTCCTCATTCGATTTTAAACTTCTCACATGTACATGTATTTCCGTTTCACCAAACATGTACGAGATTGCAACTTTTCTGTCTTCTTTATTTGGAGATTCTGGGACTTTGAAAAAAAGACTCCCTAACGCCTCGCAATCCGGGTCCGTTGTGTACTTGACTTCTTGTTTCGTTGAGCTAAATAAATATATCATTCCTTCTGCACCAATAGGTTCCGTTTCTTCAACGTGTGAATGTAATATTGGGATTTCTTGATCAATGCTTACCATTTTATGAAACACATTTTTGCATCTCAAAATTCCGTCCACTTCAACTTGTTTGTCAGGATCATGATGTGTTTGAAAGACTGGCCAGCCTTCCCTTCCGATTGTAAATTGTGATATTCTTCTTGACACCATTCTTGGAAAATGGCCAAATCTAACAGCTCCTTTCAGAACAGCTAAACCGGCCCTAGGTGGAATCATCAGCCTTTTATCAGGAAAAGACTCTTTAAATGCTGCTTTCACCAGGGCGCATTCTCCGAATCCGCCCACTAGAATCACTGTGACAACATCTTCTAGCTTCGGTTCAGTAAATAACTCTTTCACATGGTTAATCAATTTGTTAATCGAAACATCGAATAGCTTTTTAACAGTAGCCTTTTCAATCCTCAATTTATCCCCTGTCCACGTGACAATATTCTTAAATCTTGAATTGGCAATTTTTTGTTTCACACTTTCACCGTCAGACTCCGCAAATTCTCTTAGACAAGCAGGGATTTTAAACGCAATTTTCCCAGCAGTATCCGTTGTTATTGTGCGCTTTTTTGTTTCAAATTCTCTTAGAAGATCAAAGTAGTTCGGCATTTCTTCTTGTATGAACTTTTCCATGGCCTTTTCGCCAATAATCTCTTTAAATATTTCTATAAAGGCTTTGTCTACTTCATTACCACCCCATGCTCCGCCACTTGCCTTATGAAGTTCTTTCAAACTTCCGTCATCCATCTTTTGATGAACAGTTATGTCAGCTGTTCCTCCTTTAAATAAAAATTAACACAGAATAGTAATATCCGCAAGGACCGTATGAAAAAAGCACACACTAAGTTAACTTTGTATCATAGTTTGGGGACCTTTCTGTTGAAAATGTGTCAGAGTTAAATCGTATACATATACATGCACAGCGCGTTAACTGGAGTGTAGGTATTTGTTACCCGCATTCCAGATCATGCCCATTGATTGGCTCATTTTTGCTGGGGTTTACTTATTGTGACGGAAGAGAAAGGGAAAGCGACAGGAATATCATAATCTGATGCTCGTTCATTGGTTACTTTTTCTCGGGTTTCATATTGTGACAACAGGGAACGTGTTCTTATGTTTGACTATGATACAAAAGAGAAAGAACATCAAAACACTCGGCAATCTGATTTATACTCGGGGGCTACGCCCCCCTCGTACAAATCAGATAGCCTCGTGTTTCGATGCTCTTTCTATTACTTGTCAAAGCAATACGTTAATATATTATAAGAATATAGAATTAAAACTTTCATAATCATATCTTTATGGTGGCATATTTCTGCCACCAGATAATCATATAACTAACTAGTTAATAAAGAAGTTACGTAACTAGTAAACCTCTTAATTAACTAATTAGTTATGTGGATAACTAGTGACGTAACTAGTTATTTTTTTCAATGAATAAAATATCATTACGGGAAATAAATGCATGTTAGTGCCTACAACTGCCATCCCTTTACTATTTTACCAGCTTAATATTAAGAGGTTAACTAGTTACGTATCTAGTTAACCTCTTAATTAACTAGTTAGATAAGAGGTTAACTAGTTACGTAACTAGTTAATCCCTTAATTAACTAGTTAGTTATATGGTTATCTGATGGCAGAAATATGCCACCATATATCTTAATGCAGCCATTATGGTAGTTAAGTATTTTATCACAGTATATATACAACTGTACATTTATAAAGTAATTTATCGGATAAATGTTTCATTCAAATTATGCCAACATGATTTATACATATTAGATAATTATAAGGATTATTCGTAATGATGCTGATGATATACATGAAAGAACTATACCTCCTAAATCAACAACCATATAGTTCGCAGACAGTTCAGCATCAGCGGGCGTGTCTTCAGTTACAACTTGACACCATATAGACGCTGCCTCAGGTTCTAAAGCGAGTGTAAGGAAGTTGTTTGGAATGCCAGCCTGTTTGTAAGATAATGTAAATATCACAAAAATTGCAATACAAGTTATATAGCGTATAACAATCTCATTCAAAGTACATTCAAATGTAATTGCAAATTAACATACATGTACACAAATACCAAACTTATTATAGAATATTGAATTTGGAATTTATATTATATATTGAATGAAATCGTAATTACAGTTAAAGATATGCAAATATCTATGTGCAAGATATATCCCAATGAATACGTAAGTATTTGATTTATATATCCCAACATATTGACGCTATTACGAAATTAAATCGTTGTCAAAATATGCAAAAGGGTATTGTATTTGTATTGGACTTTATTAATGTTGCATCAGTATAGTATTTAGCCAGTATAAATCACATAAATGCCAAATATATTAATATTTAAGCACCGCCTTCTAAACAAAATTCTGGAAACAAAGTGATCCCTCGGAAGTATTAATCACAACAAAATTACATAAGAATTGCAGACTCGGTTTGATAACTATAAACCTTGTTTATAGTGGCGGCAGGGCCAAGTGTTTATCAACTAAGGCTAGTAACCTAACGATCGCTAGCTGTGTAAGTTCAAACCCGTCAGGGGCAAACCGTAGTTCCCTTGAGTAAGAAACTTTACAATCATTGCTCAGTACTGGTTGGTTCCAGGAATGGATTCGAAAGTGTGTCTATAAGCTTACAGCTTTCTACACAATCGAACTAAAATAAATTATGTATAAACTAAACTAAACCTTATTTGCGGCTCTTCTCATGAACTGTTTCGCACGTTCATTCCATATTGCTGGTACTGTCATTACATATTGTATTTCACTCTCCCTTATTCCAATTGTTCTCAGATTTAACGTTTCTAAAGCGTGCTTTTTCAAAAAGCGAATTGAATGTGAAATAATGTCTATCGCTGGAGCACTTTTTCCTGCTATATCTTCTATCGTTGTGTTTATTTGTAAATCCTATAAAACGAGTAAAATGTATTTTATTTAATTTAAACTTAAAACAATGATCAATATTTATATAATACTTCTCTTATAATGAGATAGTCTTCACAAAACACCTTATTTATATAAAGTACTTTAGACTTAGTATAGTAACGCCGACACATGACCATTATCTTGACAATTTTCTTGGATGATCTAAGTTAACCCTGTCCTAAATTATAGACACAATTTGTCATTTTAACATAACCATCGACCTGCCGAAAGGCTCCTTTCAAAAGCTGGATGGCCTCCAATCCACTATCTATTGGTGCAGGGCAAATGACTCGTTGTCAGCGATTTCAACTTTAAATTAGTAGCTAATTGTAAAACTCAAATGAATATTATTTGCTCAACAAATGAAAATAAAATCTAAAGGAAGGAAAAATTTGTTCTTATTCGTTGTAGTAAATCCATCATTTTCTACATATATTTCATTACCTTTCCTGTAGAATAGAGACTCATTTTGAACCGTCTAAAAAGATACCAGTCATGGTGTTCGTCATCTTCTGCCAAATCAGCAAATTTGTCCTCAGCTTCAAAGCCAAATGAATGAAACTCCTTCTCTGGTGTTAGCAACACTGCTGTTGGACATTTGAGTGACATTAGCTGTGCCGATCCGGCTATCCAGGCTTCATTTGTTTCAATTTTATCCGGTTTATCCAGGAACGAAAATGCATATCCACTATAAGTTGTCCCAAAATCAATAGCAACAACGACTAATGTATTGCTTTTTGTTACCGTTTTGTGTATTGGTTTATTTTCTGTCATATCTGAAGAGAAGACAATAATATCAGTGGAGTTTCATAAACAAAGCAAGCTGATGTTCATGTCGGGTATTTCAATTAAAATAAAATGGAAAAAAATCTTTAAATGGCCTAACCAACATATCAAACATTAATTAATTCATTAACCAGTATCAGATTTATTTTAAAGAAGATTTTATCAATTTTACTTACTTTTTCCATAATAGACTTGGAACAAATCCTTCCATCAATCCATTTCTTGAAATCTTTACTTTAACAACAATTTTATTCTGCACAACCGGAGCTTCTTTAAGTGTTTTCTAATAAATATACACTATTCTAATAACGATAATGTTTCAATTTCCGATTTAGAAACAGGAAGTATAAAACGCAAGAATCGAAAACGAAACTATATATTCTAAAGTTTCAAAGTACTAAAAATTATTTCCACGGTCAATTCAATAGTTTAAACATTTTTCATATTCAAAAAAATGAAAAAAGTTAATTTACAAGTGTATATATTTATTATATCAATTTTAAAAGTTTTAACCATTATGAAATAATAATAATAATAACTATAATGAACAATTAACATTCGTGTACACATAAAGAAATATAATTGTCGTATTTATAACTTTAAGCAAGGAAAATTTGTTGTAGAAAAAGTAAAAATTGTGACATTATGCCCATCCAAGTGTAAATGGCGAGTGTACAGGTAAAAGTTAAATCAATCTTAACTTTTTTTAATTTTACTTAAAATTTAGAACCTATTACCAACTTATCCACGTGGCTCATGAAAAATCCGTATAAAAATCCTATGGGATGTATTGATGAAAACAGTGGGATAGTATTATATTTCTAGGAAGTTTTTTTATTTAATGCTAAACTTTTTTATCATCAAATATTGGTCAATCACCAATATAATAGCCACTCTTTTAAAACATATAGCTTGTTCGGCTCAATATGACAGCAGAAAACTGATAATAACGTCACTTTAATAAATATGTAAGATGTATCTACATTGTAGTACTTTACATATTATCTTGTATCGAAATACAAGACATGTTACTAAAAAAGCTATTATTATTCTATAACCAATACATTTTCAGCATTTGTCTATGGCTATTATTATTTCTATAACCAATGCATTTTCAGCAATTGTCTATGGCTTTTATTATTCTATAACCAATACACTTTCAGCATTTGTTTATGGCTATTATAATTTCTATAACCAATGCATTTTCAGCAATTGTCTATGGCTTTTATTATTCTATAACCAATACACTTTCAGCATTTGTCTATGGCTATTATAATTTCTATAACCAATGCATTTTCAGCAATTGTCTATGGCTTTTATTATTCTATAACCAATACACTTTCAGCATTTGTCTATGGCTATTATAATTTCTATAACCAATGCATTTTCAGCATTTGTCTATGTTTGCTGTGTTACAAAGAGATGGTCCAAAAGAAATAATTATTGGTTTCTTTTTTATCAAACTATATATATATTTAAAATAAATAAAATAAAAAAGGCCATATCAAATCGATGACATACCCCATATAGCCATATAAAGCTTCGTTGAAAGGCAACAGTGGTTGTAAAATATTAAATATTTCAAACACAGATTTTCTCTCAACGTCTCTCAGATTTTACATGTAAACTATGAAATTCATTTTTCAGTGCGCCAATTAAGAAAAATCATGCAATTACTGGACTTGTAACGTCTCTGTATTATTTCAGAAACTTTTCCTTGAGTACATTCCGGTTTCGTCCAAGTTAATTTTAATTTTCAGAGACATATATAAGGACATTTACACAATCTACCTTAGTGAAATTACAAGGTCCGGTGTCTTGAAATTAATAATAATAATAATAATAATAATAATAATAATAATAAATAATAATGATAATAATAATAATAATAAAGACTTTATTTAACAAGGGAAATCATTTGAAAAAATATCATCGATCTTCCACGAGGCCTTCAACAGAGAACAATATAAATTTAACATATTCAAACTATTGAAATGCATAGTTTTAACATACTTGAGAATTTAAAGATAATGCTTTCAATTTGTTATATGGAGATCCTAACCGGTGCATGATAACATAGCAATTCAAGTATAAGGTTTTAAAATGAAGGCCATTTCAAATACAAGATACAGAATAGACAAATGACTTACGAAATTGTTCGGTATTCATTTAATAGGAAGGCGCCTCATTATCATCAATTATGGTCAATGGACAACTTACCGTACTTTGCTAAGATGAGGTGCCGTCGATAGTTGACAATTTTTTGTGCAAACTCTGTGAATTTGTTCATATCTTTGTCTTCCTTTTTCTAGTTCGTTGGGTAGTATAACCTTGGTCCCTTTCTGCATTTTTTTTCAATTTGCTGCTTGTTTTTTTTCTTGGGAGCTTGATCGTCATTTTCAAATGTGTGATCAAATTTCAATTTTAAATTACTTATACCGATGTACAGAATGCCTATCGGGCTTAAATTCAATAAATACACAAACATGCATTTTGTTTCGTACACATATGTTGATATACGTGTATTGAATCGATGGAATGTCAGAAGTAAAAATAAAGATTACATTTAAGGGTAATGCAGGGTGTTGAGTTACATATACATGTACATTGCAGGCATCGTTATCAAACATAGTGATATATATACGACTGTTAAAAGCATGCACATTCAAATACAGAAAATTTTGTAGCTCATAGCTTGATAATTTATTAATATTGAGTTGTGATTGACCAGTTTGGTCAATTGTTGCGGTTTCTTTGTTGATTGGAGCAGAAGTCTAAAAAGTCACTGACAGGCCAAAACACATTTTTCTTCATTCAACCGGAAAACCTGTGTAATAGGCACAAGTACTTGAGCTACCGATCATTTCTGTAAAGTTTCATTCAATTTGAATCACTGGTATTTAGGAAGTACTCCAGACAAACTTAAAAAATAAAATTCATTAAAGGGTCGTAACTCTGACATAAATTATAAATGATATGCACTATTAAACTTGGTACCAATAATTCTTGTAAAATTTGGATGGAATTGAATCAATAGTTTAGGAAGAGTAGTCCAGACAAGTTTTGTGACGGACGGACTCACGAAGGAGAATTGATCCCTATATGTAGCCGTTACTTTGTAGCATATTTCAAAAGTTTTGTAACATTGTCTTGTATGACAAGTTATCAAAAGATATGTTGCCATTATAAGAACATGGAAAGTTAAGATGTCGGGCTACAGTTGATCCTAATCAGCAGCTAGTACAAATGGGGTACATTTATTATAAATGTCTGAATAAAAAATAAGAACTGTTGCACAGATCTGTGACTTGCAGCTTTTTTATTATTTCGTTTTATACGCTTCCACCTCCATCGTGTACATACCAGCCCACTCTTTACATAATCATTTTATTACCTATGATGGCTGATTTCTGCCATTTCGTGTCTTTGTGGTTTCGACCCTCAAAAGTCGAAAGCGAAGACACGATAAATTTCCAAATTTTTTGTCTTCGCCTTTCGCATTTTGAGGCGAAGACGCAACGACATGACAACTATAGGGCGCCAATGCGAAGATTTCTACCCGCCGGCAGAAGAAAAAAAAAATCGTTATTCCGCCTAAAATATATCGTTTCTTTGTCTCGGCGCCCACAAAAGTCGAAGGCGAAAACACGATAAGTGAGCTTGTATCACAGTTTGGGGACCTTTCTGTTGAAAATGTGTCAGAGTTAAATCGTATAAGTATACTTGTATCATAGTTTGGGGACCTTTCTGTTGAAAATGTGTCAGAGTTAAATCGTATACATATACATGCACAGTGCAGGTATTAGTTTCCCGCACTCCTGAGCACGCCCATTGATTGGTTCATTTTTGCTGGGGTTTACTTATTGTGACGGCAGAGAAAGGAAACGCGACAGAAATATGATATTCAGATGCTCGTTCATTGGTTACGTTTTTCTGTGGTTTCATAATGTGACAACAAGGAACGTGTTTTATGTTTGACTATGATACAAAAGAGAAAGAACACCAAAACACTCGGCAATCTGATTTATACTCGGGGGCTACGCCCCCTCGTACAATTTAGATAGCCTCGTGTTTCGGTGCTCTTTCTATTACTTATATACATGCACAGTGCGTTAACTGGAGTGCAGGTATTAGTTACCCGCACTCCAGAGCATGCCCATTGATTGGCTCATTTTTGCTGGGGTTTACTTATTGTGACGGCAGAGAAAGGGAAAGCGATAGAAATATCATATTCAGATGCTCGTTCATTGGTTACTTTTTTCTTGGGTTTCATATTGTGACAACAGGGAACGTGTTTTTATGTTTGACTATGATACAAAAGAGAAAGAACATCAAAACACTCGGCAATCTGATTAATACTCGGGGGCTACGCCCCCTCGTACAAATCAGATAGCCTCGTGTTTCGATGCTCTTTCTTTTACATATTATTGTGTCTTTGCATTCGACTTTTAAGGGGCGAAGACACGTAATGGAAGAAATCAGCCACCATAATTACCTGAGACTGAGTAGATGTTTACTTTCGGAGAGAATCTTCACAATATAAGGCGATATCAAAATTGCAAAATGTATTCATGTACATATTGATTAGTAATTAGATTGGTAACACCTGCTGCTTTCATTTTACCTGCTTGGAAATCCATTTGGAAATTCCGTTTTCTAAAATTAGTAACGGAAATTTTGCTCTTAAAATAGTAGGAAATGATACTGTACGGGAAGTCCCCATACTTCATTTTTCTTATTGATTGTGCCTTTTCACTACCTTACCTGGTAATATATATTTTTCTACGTATGTGTGTGTGTGCCGATTAAGTGTAATAAATATACCAAAAATAAAGAAAAACAGAATTTGTAAAAACCGGCAAAAAAGGCAAAATAGAATCTGTTGAACCTGTTCGTGGACAGTGATGGAAATTTCAAGCTTCCATCAACGCCCCCAGCAGAATTCAACATGAAAACATAAAAAAGACACGCCTCTCAAAACATACGTAAAGTAGTTGTGCAAAACACATTTTACAGAATAATGAAGAGCCAAGGGATCTTATAAATAGCGGATAAGTACTTATTAAACGAGTTAAATGTGATGAAGAATTGGTCCCAAGGCGCTCACCTGAGGACAGTCTGTTATTTGTGTAAAAGTATTGAAAGTTAGTGTTTGTTATGAAGATTTGAACGATGATGGTCACTAGACCATACTTCATCCAAATATATATTTTTAATTATACTATATACATGGTCTAAATGTCATAGCTGTACATTAAGAACAAGAAGGTAGGTCAGTAGGCCAATATTTAGGTAATTTCATAACAACTTTCAGCCCCGCACTTTTACTATAATAATGTTTGTAATGAAAATCTATGCCCCCGGGACGTGGCCAATTTTGACCGCAGTGCCATAATTTGAACAAACTTGGTAGAAGTCAAGAACACAATGTTTCATGCGAAATATCTCACCTCTAACCTTTGTAATTTCAGAGGAGAAGATTTTAAAGTTTTTACTATATGCATATTAGTGAAACCTATAACCCTGGGGTTGGGACAATTTTGATACGAGAGGCCAAATTCGGACAAAATTGATAGAGGTCCACTAGACGATGTCCGTTACAAGACGACCTGATAACATTTTGTATACATGCCAGAGCAGATGTACAGTTCGAATGACCGTAGAAAGATTTCATGATAAGTCAAAATGAAGTAACTTGCACCGTTCGGGAATCGGACCCTAGCAGCTCGGTTCAAACCTGACGGTTAAGCACAAAAATGGCTTATCATTTTCTCTTTATACTCAAAGAGTTATAATTTATGCAAATTTGCTCAAAATAATTTGCGCAACGTAAATATTATCCAAATGTATATAAAATATATTAAATTAAGTAAAAAGGTCAATCGCGTTGATGTATATAAACATCACTTACATATCTGTTAGAAATTCCCACTTATATCGCGTGTTATTTTCATGCATTGAGGTCACAGCTGTGCAGTGAATCTGGAAAACCAATCTAAAAATAGTTACTATGGAAATTTTATGCAAAAAAAATTAAGTTATATAAAATGCTATAAAGATTCTAATTCCATTTATTACTCACCACGACGCCTGTCTATAAGTTATTTCTGGGGGTTTGTTATTTTTTTATAATAAACAGTTTAGAATTAATCTATATAAATATTTAAAAAATAAAAATGTGATTTAAAAGTTAATATTGTTTAGTATTAAAATGATGTTACATTTCTTTTTTTATTTAAGCTGAGCCAACGTCACTGATACGGGAGTTTACAGCTATGGCAGCAAATAGGAATTGTATTCGAGATCTGGAGGAAATGCGTGTTGAACTGAAGCATTTTTTTCTTACTACCATGTTACTGTTTACAACACCACTTTTGGGATATGCTGACGAACTAGATGCTGCATACAGAGGTAAATATCTTCAATTTATTTCTGTATAATTTGAATGGCTTCTGTAGTACAGCGGTAAGCATGATATCCTCGATACTGATATAGAACTTTTTGATCATCAAAAAGATATTAAAGACAAAGAATTGAGAAAAATGTTTCTGTTTCTTCGGGATCATGACTTTTAGTGTTGAAGATTCAAACCTAAGTAGGCTGTTCCCATGGATATAAGAAACGTTGTATTTTCAATTCTCCTCAATTAATGTGCACCTTGTAAATGGTATTATCATCTGTCGCTTAGTACCTTTATTTTACTAGAATATTTTAGGTAATATAATAGGTGAGATCTTAGTTTAGTTTTAAAAATATGTGAAATAATTGTTTACAACTCACTTATTTACAAAATAACAAAGTGCATATAATGTCACCTACGATATATTTCCAGATATAAAGATTTCTAAAGTATCTGGACAGTCAGGATGTGTGGTAGGGGGAGTGTTATTTGTTGTAGGCTTTGGACTTTCTTTTGTCACATTTGGAGCGTCTCTTGGCCTCTGTATAGCAGGTAATCAGTTTTAGTAACACTTAGATACTCACGTCTTATTGCAAAAAAAAAAAAAAAAAAAAAAAAAAAAAAACACACACACACAACAAAAAAAATAAAATAAATAAAAAACAACGCAACAAACACAGTGTAACTGAACTATATTTCAATGCTGTAAAAAGGAAATAATGTTACTTTAGGAGCGCCTCTTGGTGTCTGTGTAAAAGTTTTAACGAAATGTATTTTGTTTTCACCAGAAATTAATAGTAAATTTCATGTTATCGAATGCATGTCGCACTGAATATGTCTAATATATTCATACCCTGTTTACCTATAGTGTCTGTGTGGAGCAAAACGATGATTATTTCACATTGAGTGACAGTTTGGCATTCATCAGTATTTTCAAATATCAAAGTTAATTAAAATATATCTTTAAATATGAACGGGTTAACCTTTAAACAAATAAACACATAATGCCTTAAGTGTTTGTTTTATGAGTAAAGGTACTATCAGGCTTTTTTCAACCGCTGTGCGCTTTAGATACATTTCAAATTGATAAATCTGTCTTCTTCAAATAGATAAACATCTTAACACGATTTGTCTTTATGATACATTATATCATATGTTCATGTCATATTTTGATATAACTGACTCGAGTTAGCTGAAATTCAGTTATCGATTACTACAAGTGATTTTTTTTGTTTGAAGATTTTTTTTCTTTTTCAGGTGGAATTATTGGAGGCGCAGGTGGGATAGTAACCGGTGGTGCTTCTATAGCTGACGCTGTAAAATCAAGCAAAGCTAGAACAAAGGCAAAAGCTGAACTTGATAAGTGCAATACAGCTTTTAACGAAATACTGATGAAATGCAATAGGGTATCAACCCAGCTCGAGAATGTTGGAAATATTGACATAAACTTTCCGGTCTGGTGCTCATTTTGGGGCAATTTAATGCTGGGCACAGGACGAACCCTTTCAGGATTTGGCTGGCAAATGGTTGCGAGTACTGTTTTGAACGCAATTAGACTTGGCAGAGCCGTCGACATTGCATCTGATGTAACATCAGCTGTCGTTCCTGTATTCCGTACACTTGGAAACGCAGCTAAGGGGCTTCATATTGCTGGTGGAGTCGTAAGTGCCGTCTTTCTTCCCATTGATATAGGTTTTCTAGTTTACAATTCGATAGAGCTTCACAAAGACGAATCTCATGACGAGTCAAAGAAAATACGAGAAGCTGTTGCCAAGCTACAGAATAGATGTCCTAGTGAACAGGACATTGATGAAATGATAGATTCGTGTATAAACTCATTACGACAGCTGGAAAACTAAATTGTATTACAAAAACTTCCAAGTGGCTTTTGTTTTGATATAGTGATTTTTACCTTAATATTTGATATAGTGACCTTTGCCTTGATATAACCATGTTTGATAAATATTTAAAGTTAAAGGCGCATTTGTAAAATGTAACGATAGAATTTTATAACCTTAGATGAACAATTTATTTTACATATTAATTGTATCTTACATTTATTTTTATCTTAAATGTGTTCAATAAAAGTTGCAGTTTTGAAAAAATATAAGATGCGTGGAAGACTTTTTAATTATTTAATGTACATTTTCTCATGAACCAAAACGTCTGTGATAATGACCCATTTATAATGAAATTGATATATTGTCTGGTGGTTCTTCGCATTACAGGGAAGCAAAGAAATGTTCATTATCGTTATGTGAAGTCTGTGAAATTCATATGAATCGAAATGCATACGATAATCTTTAAAATTGTCCGAGGTTAGGTCTAATGAAGCAAGCACATTCTTACTCTTTTGCCCCCAGTACCATTTTACGACTTTCCAAATATAGGACATGGACACTATTTAATGCATCAGTTACAGTGACGAGTTTTTATATGTAAATGTTTTATAAAAATCAAAATGTTCACTAAATCAAGTAGTGAGATTAATTAACAGTTTACACTATGTTTTTAAGAATTTCAGTTTAGATTTTAAACTTACCACTTCTATAATGGACTTACTTTTTTAATTTTCCCTTTTCTTGAACCCATTATTGTTATAACATCCTATTTGTTTACCATTGCATTTAATACTGTATACGCTGGAACTGAAAACGAAACTAGATCTACAAACCATTTACATGTATAAACACATACATGTATACTACTTATTCAAAAGTTAAAACGTATCTTGTTTTCGAAATACATATAAAATATCAGAGGCTTAGAATACAGAATATAGATCTGTGAAAAATATATATTCAAAGATCAAGTATACTTCAATATTAAGTGGTTCAGGACACAGAGGTTCATTAAACATTAGAGTAAAGAATTTGTATAATCAATAAATGCATGGATCGAAATAAAATACTAGTACACAACTTTCATTTTATATATACACATGTACACATGTATATAAAACAACTGATGATTGCTTTTGATATGTTTACTGTTCCATTTGTCTTTGATGCTATTGGAAGATCTTTAGTTAAGTCGCCAAACACTCTAGATTGAGAAATTCTATATCCTTACAGTGACATTTTCTAAAGTATTTTTAAGCTTTATCAAAACGTCATTTTGTGGTGTGTGTAATAAACGCGCGCGGTAGAGCACGTTAGTGCAGGAAGTTACTTTTGTACAACGAGTCATGGAAAAATACTACGTACTTGATGTGTGCCGTTTATTACGTGATATTGTCTCTTTTCCCTACCTTGAATAACTTTTCCGGAATACATAGCATTTTGGCAGAAACAATCGGGTGAAGGTCCATACTCAAAAACATGTGCTCGCGTTAGTGCCTAAATTTTATTTTTTTTCGAAGGAGCACATGTTTTTAAAAAATGGACATAGCGGGGTTTGATGAATTATTAAAGAGGTAAATAACACAATAATGTCCAGTGCAGACATTTTCATTATTACTTACTATATCATTTATATATAATTTAATGCACTTTTGTTACCAGCATTGTGCGTTTTCTCTGAGAAAAGCAGAATTTTGAGTTAAGACTTCACAGAGATAATTTTATTCTGTATCATAGAGTATCAAACTGTTGGCTCTTGGAATTCCATTTTGTTATTCATATTCCAATTTTCAAAACATACATGTCAAACCGGAAATTTTTATTTTTAAAATAGTAGCAAGTGATTTTCTGTTGGGAATTCCCCAGAGTTGACTTTCTGTGTCCATGTTTAAATATCAAAGTGTTATTCAGAACTAATTCGCAAAACAGATGTTCTTTTGATAAAAATATATATTTCTAAAATGCACATGAGTTAAATAAGTACGAGACCATACAAATGATTGTTGTTGGTTCGTGTTATTTTATGTTTGGCATGTTTTGTAAAAATAGCTTCCATATAGTGCGATTAATTTATTGCATACATTTAATGCAAAACAATGGGACATTTTAATTAAAAAAAGTCACCCATACACAATGTTTGCTCAACAATTTAATGCTCTTGCGAATTCTAGGTCGGGGAACAATACAGTTTTAAATATTTTAATCATAATGCTTCTCGCTTTTTTACCTTCAATGGCAGTTGTGGAACAAATCGTTCAATTATCTGCTTAATGCCGGCAAATAAACACATCAGAATTTCCGATTCCTATAAAGATATTGAATTACTTAATATGGCGATGAAGTATTTAACGATAATGCAAGCACAATATTAAAATTTTAAAATATACAAAACATGTATATATTCCATAGATATACGTAAACATGCTTTTCATTTCAACTGCGTCTGTAATACAAAAAACAAAAAACAAACAAAAAACAACTGCCTTTATTTCCAAAATAATTGTCAAAATAGTATGACATTTTATGTATGTAATTGAAACATATATCTTGCTGGTGAAATAAATGATATATAATGTACATGTTTGTATTTTATTTTTGTATTGTAAATACTTTTACGCTGATGTACACGTGTGTTATCAAAGCAGAATACTATTAAGATGAGAATGTATAGCAAGCAAACTGAATTAATTAAATTTAAAAATTCTTTCTACTTTTTACTTTCAAATATCATATTTGTATGATTTCAAAGACTGGAAGCGAGAAGCAAGCATAATTCAATGAAAAAAATGACAAAATAGGACAGGCAATAAACTCGTTCGGCCATTGTACTCATAAATTTGGTTCGACCATTGTACTCGTTTTTTAAAAAGATGCAAAACTTCATTACGCAACTTTACAAAGGATGGAAATTGTTCATGACGGGCAAACTTGCAATTCTGCACAAGATGTCATTGCTAATTGTGCTCAAAATGTGTATCTTTTACTGAAAACAACGCATTTTAGTACCTGTTCGGCCATTGTATTCATCACCCAAAACAACTTTTTTCGACTTTCAGGCCTAAACAGAGAGAGCTACAAAGTAACCAATAGCAGAACAGTACGTGGTTTTTGTGCGGCCAAGTTTTACATAAAAATTTAACGTTAACTATATGCTTACCTCAATTTCACTGCTTTTACCGAGCGTTTAAGCCGCCATTTTATGAGCCCATTGTACGATTTTGGTCACGTGATCATCCGCAGTGAGCGGAGAAGGGCAATTTAAAATTACCTTCGAGGGAATATACAGTGTATATCTGACGAAATTTCCATTTATTAATAATACAATCTTTTCATCAAAATTCAAAATATACTGAATATACTGTGAAACTTTTTTGTAATAATTACACATTTTCCTGTTATATTTGTATAATTGTCCTATTAATTATATACATAAAAAGTACTGTTCAATATAATTGATAATAAAGTTATATAACGCATGGTATAAGTCGAATGATAACATTGAATACAACACGTACATGACATGAGTATTCATTTAAAACATGCATGAACACATTAATGGGTACTTAACTTACTTTAACATTTATCAGGCATCCGAATCTTGTATGAACTAAAAAAGGCTTGTAATCGTCTCATTGTAACACATATTTTAAAAGCTAATTTCGTTTCAACATGCTAAAAGAAAAACAAACATATGACAATATGTTTAACTGAAATATTTGAAGCTTTGTGAAAATTTTATTTATTTTTGAACACTTTAGCGGATAAAATGTATCAAGGATATTTATTACCATTTCAAAATAAATATAAAAAACATAAAGAAAAACGGAATCACTAAAGAACACCAAAAGTGCTAAATTGAAAGTTTGATTGAGCCTGTTCATGGACATTAGAGGAACGTGCAAGCTACTGTCTACGCACCCAAGCACCGGGTCAAGCAGAATTTAACAAGAAAACTTGAAAAGACACGCCTTTCTACACATGCATGAAGTTAATTAAGTAGTTAACTGTACAGCATATTTTACATAATTATGATTAGCCAAGGGAGCTCATTAAATAGCGGATTAGAAGAAATACATTTTCAAACACTAATTTAATAACACTGTACATAATTATTTCGCATGTTTGTACATCTTAAAATTCTTCCTTTTCATACAACGAAAGAACTATGTTTGTTGAAACTCACTGAAACGTGACGATATTAAACTTCATCGTGAAATCCAAAGCATTCAGAATTATATGGAGCTCACCATTTTGTTCTATAGACAGTGCCATTTTGATATCAGGATACTTTTGCAAACAGCAGACGACAAAAAAGTATAATTGTGGTCATTGAATAAACTAGAACTGTCAGTGCCATAGCATGAATACCCCCGGCATACCGCTTTGTCAGAAACAACAGAGGTCATTTAGAGCTTAAGGACAACCTCCTTGCCAAATCTGTGGGTAATAAGCCAGTACATTGATAATGCCTACGTCACATTACAAGCGGGGACCGGCCGGTATAGAGGGATCGATGGGACACCGTTGATAAATCGAGATCGGAGAGAAGCATTTCAATCATGTCTGGGAAGAAGTGGGCGGTCATTCTCCCTCTGTGGTCCATTAGGTATTCGCACGGTTTCCGAAGGGTACTCGCCCGGTCACCCTGTGAAAACCCTTGGCATCTTCTTTCTGGACACCGGTCGATATTCTAAAGGTAACCGGCAGACTACCGTACGATAAATGTCCAATTGCCTTCCGCTATCTGGCCTGTTTTCAACAATCGTACGGTGACGATGAAGTATACGTGCGATATCCGGTCGGCTGTCGGACGGTATTCGTATGGCATGCTATCCCATGTTCCGGCTGTTATTCACACCCCCACTTTTGTTGGCATTTTTCATTGCCTTCTTTCTCTCTGATTTCTCAACCATCCCTTCTTGGCTTTCTGTTTTTTGGTGGTATATTACACTTTGAAATCAAAGTTTTTATAAAAGATTGTAAATGAAACTAAACCTCGGACGTGTATGAAAACTGAGAGAATATGTGTGTGTAATTGAGTTTCTTAATACTCGCCATCGGTTGCCCGTATAGGCGAGTCCTCCGGAAGAGTATTAGTGATTTAAGATTTTGGAGGACAGCGCAAGATACAGGCGTTCAATGAACGCAACCACGACACTGTCCATCAACACAGGATGACCACCGTCAAGGATCGAAGCAGTACACCAAACAATCTTCTCCTTCTTCTTTACCTATCCAAGTGATTAAGCTTTAAAATAGAGAAAAACAA